TTCTCTTCAGTCCAGAGACAATTGTTACAAAGCAGCCCTTCCGATTGGATCTTTAAATCTACATAACACTAAAAGTGCAGTTTCTTATGGTAAATGTTGTACTTCGCAAGAAACGTGTACATTTACTGATTTTATGATCGGCCCGAGTTAGCAATCAGTCTTTTTTTGATATACGCGGCTCTACGTCATTCTTTCTTCCGAGAAGTCCTAGAGAGACAATGGAGATGATTGAATGATGGAGGGTCCCTAATAGGGTTCTTCAATCCCGTAATCCCGAGGGTTATTTTTGCCATCCAACTCGTGAGAACTTTCAATCCCGAGTCTCGCCCCGATTTTGCTTCAAAATCTCGGATTCCGAGATTCAAACAAGGTTAATCCCGTATCCCGAGAAACCTCTTGGGGACCCTCTTAAGAGGCGTTCTTGTTATAGAGGTGTCCCTTAAGAGACAGCTGACTGTAATAAAAGCACAGGCATGCCAAGCAACAAATACGAAGTCCGTTCGTAAAAACAGTCAAAATTGCAGGAGTATTTTTAGTGTGCAAAATCGATATTTTCCTTCGGCTTAACAAGAAACAAATGAAAATTGGCTTAGCTTCCATAGTTCTGTTTCTTTGCTAACTGGGTGGTTTTTTGGTCGCTTATTGTCTTTTCAGTTGAGTAATCTTGTCCTTACTTCGTTTTTATGCGCACCTCTTTATTTCAATTTTTTCGTAATTTATTTTTTATCTATTTGTAGCAAACGTTGTATGGAAAAATCTCTAGTCACGATGATACCATGATCTCGGCCTATTCCACTTAACTAACTGCAAATCCTACGTGATAACATGATCTATTTATGTTTATTTTTTATTTTTACATTTCAGTACTGGAAGCTTTTCCGGGATTAAAATTTTGCCTAATTAAGGATAAAAAGTCTTCTCAATTTACCAGCGCACCGGTCAACCCTATCATGTACTCAAGAAAAGAAAATAATAACAAAATATATCAAATTTTAATTTTGCTTTATCTTTAAGAATGCTAAGTACCATGAACGCGCGACAGGATTTAATATAACCCTCTACACTGAAAACTGAGTCAGACTTAGGACTCCATACTAAATAGGTAGCTCCATGTGAAAGCACTGCTGACGAGGTTTTATCTAAATGGTCACACCATCGGATTTCATCCATCGAAAGTTACAACTACATACTAAATAACTAGTACTATGTGAAAGTACTGAAGTTAAACGGTCACATGATAAGCTTTAGTCCACAGACTCGAAAGATAAAATGGCAACCGTCTCACATGTATCACACAACAATTTAGGAGTGATAAGGTAATATTTCATGTTATTTTCAAAATGCCCAAAGTGAGGATCAAAGGTTAATCCACAGAATCCAGGATTAATCGTCTAATGAATGATCAGTGTTGCACCATCTGCTGAAAGGAGTGTTTTCTCGTTCTTGCTATTGTTTTTGCTCTCTATACTTGACTGAAATGTTTTGTGTGGAATTGAGTAAGTTAGAATTAAGATTTCAAGGAGAGGAACATTTCATTCTTTGTTTTTATTTTAGATTTTCCTTAAATTGCCCATGTCGTTTTGATATTTCTAAAAGTTTGTATAATAAGATTTGCTTGTTTAACTTACATTTGAAATAAAAGCCGCCATAGATATAAATTTATCTCAAAGAAAACATAAAGGTAATATTTACTCACATTGATCATGATGTAAGCAAACTATTATCGCAGATATAACTGATACATTGTTTTTGTTTATAGCACAATGTCATCAGGTTTTATTTCATCTCCCCTCTACAGACAATTTCTAGAAACTGCATTCTTTTGAGGTAAATTCTGGATAATGGAAGAAGTCAAATAAAATAAAAGAACAAGTTTAAAAAAAACAAATCCAGACCGGACCTTTGGACAATATGATACATGGCGTAAGCAAGGGTAAGGTCGGAGAAAAAATTTGGTATCAAAGAATAAAGATATGGTAAAAAAATGCCAACCACCTTTTAAAACCTCAAAAGCTCGAATCGCGCCTCAATAAGACTCGAGTGAAAGGTAAATAACGAAGGAGGAGAAAAAAAAATATATTTATATAGGAAGCTCCGTTCAACAGCCGAAGAAAGTTGTTCTGAACATAATTTAAGTTTTCTAGCTGATGTTAAAGTGATACTTACTTTATTAAAGCAGACAAGCGCCCGGCGGCCAACCAAGGTCAACAAGGAACGATGAAGGACAAAAAAAAATTCCACTACCTGTCTACGACAGCCTTACCTTGCTTTCAAGTACTTCTCCCTAATCGCCTCTTCTTTCAGAAGCAATTGATTGTTCTTTCACTGACAAAACCCACGTTGAACAACGAACACTTAAGTGCGAGAGAAATCTCGATCCTCTTTCATTAATATACCTAGGTTGGTTATAATTAGCTTTGTTTCCTACCAATCACACCGATCGAAGATAAGGCGCTCAAAAATAAATATCCTCCCAAATTACTTTGCTTAAATTGACAAGTTGTCCAGTTTGACGCAAAACAGAGCATCCCTGAACTGGGTTGACCGCGCCCTGTTTGGGATCGACGATTCAAATGTCGCTATCACATTGTACAGAGCTCCTTATCACTCACTTGGCCAGCAACTATGCAAATGTCCCAGAACAAAATAAGGTTTTACGAAAGAAAAGAGTTCCACCCCCACAGGATTGGTTTGGGAAACCAACATGGCCGCCGATTCATTGTTTTGGGAAACCAATATAATATTGCGGACGTGACGTTATGTTACAACTCTCTATAAGTGATTGATATATTCCTTACTTATACCTGTTACGCGTTTGTTTACTAGGTAGTAAGTTTTGTTTTGTTTTTTCTCTAATTCCACTGTACTTACACAAGAAATTGAATGATCAAACTGACCAAGTTTCTTAACTTTCCAGGCAAAAGTAACGAAAAAAGATCCCTAGATATATAGAAAAAATTTGAATTGACCAATCAGAACGTGGCAGTTAGTGTTGCCTTAACGTTAACAAATAATTAGCCTCTGCTGAATTATACAACTAGTTGCTTCCTTCCAGCTTCTTTATTCTTGCGTTGACGCTAATGAGTCATGATTAATTAAATAAGCTAACTTATAGAAGGGTCGTTAATTTTTTTCTTGTTTGTTTTTTCGCTTTTTCGTCTTACCTGATATAAAAATAAATAAATAAATAAATAAATAATAATGTAAACCATAACTAATCACAGCGAAGTAGTAATTTTGCGCAAGTACAGCTGGTAGCCGGACTTTGTTTTGCTGTGAAGGGTTTAACAGGGGTCAATTTAATAAAACTTTTACAAATGTAATTTACAAGTGTAGCTATTGTCTTCAGACTCTTAAACAATGGCTAAACTTGTTTTTACCAGTTTGAACGTTTTATTAAATTGACCCCAGGTTTAATTTTTTTTATTGGTCAAGGAGTACAGTTAAGATTACAACTAAAACATTACATATAATATTTATTATTCTCCTTGTAATTATTTATTACGATTGTTCAAGGTCAATCATACCTTTCTGACAAATTCAACCCAGAGGTATCGTTCTCCATCCCCGCTGAATTTCGTAAAGTGAACGTTCGTTCTGTTTCTCAAACACCCTTAATTGCCTTTTCAGTACTCTCTTAAATAAGTAGACTTTGAGTAAAGCTTCAGCTGAAGCTTATTCCTACCATTTCATCAGACGATGGGCATCACGTTCTCCGTTTCCATGATTCAAGCGAAGTCAAAGAAAGTCTAGTTTTAAGCTCTTGAACCCTGACGTCGCATTCGACGGATTATATCTTTTTAAGCCTGTAAGACCCGAACCACTAACAAGTTTAACGTTTTACAAGATTAAGGATGTTTACGTGCGGATTAGTATAGGGAGAACATTATTGATAGTTGTTTGGTTCTAGACTTTCCCTTTTTAGTAACGAGTCTTAGAAAAGTCATTAGCTATTCATACACGTAGACTGTATTTGACCGCCAAGTACACCTCTGCAAATTTAACCCCAAAACAAATCAACTGGATTAAAGACTTTAAAAAGTAGAAACCTGTTTAAAAACCCTATCAAAACAAATCAACTGGATTCATTAAAATGGGCGATTCATTACAAAATTGCAAAACAGAGAACTTATTAGAACCTAGAGACCAGCTAAATGTTTGAAGTGTATTTTGTTGTTGTTATTTTTGGAACGCCTTTGTTTTAAAAGCTTCGTTGGTGAGAGATTTTTACGCCTTTGTTTTAAAAGCGTTGGTGAGAGATAAGGTAGTGGTGTCTAAAAGCAGACATTCATATTTTGTGACTGATGACATTATATATTCAATAGGCTTGCACAAATCATAATTATTTAGACTAAGCATTTTCTAGAAAATTCACCAAGCACGCTACTAAATAAGAGAGCAACACAAAAAGTCTAGATGTGTCATGAATGTTGTCTCTTAACATCTCTTAAATTTGTTTTTATTGTACATTTTATTATTTTTATTTGTTCATTTATTTGTTTATTTACTTATTTTTCACACAGAAAATTAAAATTAGCCCTTCGACGAACGCTAGGACTGTAAAAAGTTCAGAGCTGACTCCAATACTCACTTTTGAATCTGTGATTGGTGTCACAATTTAAACGAATTCTTTTTTGTATTCCTTTCTTGTGATACTATTTGTTTTTGTTTAGTCACGTTTGACTAGAAAAATTGTGTAACAATAAAATTTGAGATTTTGTTTTTCCATTTTCATTTCCGCTACGTGTTACATAATAAGACCTCACACGAAAACCCAGTTTCAAATCTTAAATAACAAATAGAATCATATTTAGATCATTCTTTACTTCGTCATCGGAATGTGACCTCGGCGACTCTCTCCTCCGAGGAGGCTTCCGTTGGGTATTTCGATAAAAAAAGCAATAATTAAAAACGTCAGAGCGCGCGGTGGATGATGGGAAGAGGAAAAATGCCTTCCCGTCCCTCCCCTCGCGATTTCCTTTTTTCCCTCTCCCCAATCTCAATAGAGTGTTTTCACATGACGTCACGGCGGCCATATTGGTGTCCCAAAACAATGAAACGGCGGCCATGTTGGTGTCCCAAACCAATCCTTTGGGAGTTGAACTCTTTTCTTATGCAAACGCTTTCTTTTGTTCCAATAAATTTGCATAGATGCTGGCCACGTGAGTGAAAACACTCTATATATATACGACACAAAGAGGCCTCTGCGTAAGAGAGAGAGAGTCGCTGACTAGTTGCATCCGTCGGCGCTGGAATGCAAAGGTTATCTTACTGAAGGGCCTGCAATTTTAGGCTTCTGTGGTTGTTAATAAAAATGCTTCCAATTCAGCTCCCTCATTCAAGGAATTAAACAATCTTTTTATCAGAAATTTGCTTTCTAAACCAAATTTTGATGTTATTTCTTTTTTTTTCTTTTTTTCTGTAAAAGAGAGCGAGGGTCCGCAAGAAGTGCTGGTACCTCATTTATCACTCAGGATTTTTGGCTCTCTGGGATCTCGGATCTCAGTTACAAGTAACAGAGCCCTTCATTTCGCAGCTGACAGTTGCAACTATAACCATCAGTCAGCTCAAGATCACTTAAGACCTATCCAGAGCCTAATTTCTGGGTTCAGGATATCCTTTAACAAGACGATATTCATGTGGAAGGGAGGTGAACAATGTAATCATTCTTGTTAAATGTACCAGGCCCACAATCTGCGTTTTCGTTACTTATATTCCACGTCCCAGCAGGCAAAGGCAGAATAACATCGGCCTATGGTAGATTTACGAGCCCGCAAGACTAAGTATACCCCAACCAACCACCAACTGTTTTCGCCACTGAAACCGCTGGTCCACAAACCTGCAAGTACCTTAGGCCGATGATGTCGCAACCACCCTAGCATTCGGCGGCAGATTGTGAAGTTTCTGTAACCGGATCGTTCAAGTTTTTTATTGCCACAATGTCCGCCATAACAGGTATCCTTGGAGCTCGGGGAATATCAATTGGCGCTAAGTTGTCTTCAAAAGGTGTATTCCACTGTTGGACTTTACCACTCGCAAAAAGCACAAACGTTACCCAGCCGATTACGTACATCCCAGCAGATATGTAAAACACTTTTTGCCACTGAAGTCTTGTCGGCTGTGGAAAGGAGACAGTTAGCTATCAACTACAATTAATGAAACCGAGCCGTGTTTGATACATATACGCGCTGTAGGTCAACTGGTAGTTGAATCATGTCGTTACGTAACCCGTCTCTTCAATGGACAAGGCGCGGCAAGTTTTCGCTTGTGGGTCTCAACGTCTGCATTTGAGTTTACCTTTTCAATCCAAACACGTGACCAATAACGTCACCAAAATTCAAACTAAGAAACTATCGATTCTTCCGTGAGTTTCTACTTTCATGAGGTATTAAAAACCTCTATTTACACAAATTCTCGGTTCGAAAGGGTTTTCTAGAGAAAATGATAAAAAACAGAAAACGAATTGTACCATGCTAAAGTACTGCTTAAGAGGTTTTATTCAGTTGGTAATACTAACTATAGGATCCATTTCAGCCATAGACTCAACATTTTCTCTCCGCTCCATTTTGACTCTTGTGTTTTAAGCATCGAGTTTATTAACCATCACGCGGGTAATTTTCGGGTTACTGACAACTTTTAACATATAACTCAAGAGGCTAATGTCGATGCAAGCTTCTAACGCGCGTGAAGCGATCGCGTTTTGACATCGATCGGAGAAACCGTCTTCGCGTTATATTCCTTTCCGGCAACACGGCCAACTGAAAGACAAACATGAGACACAGACAAACAAAAAAGAAAAAGAGGGATTAGCTCAGTCGGTAGAGCGCTTGACTACAGAGCGGAATGTCGCGGGTTCGATTCTCGGGGCCCGAGAAATACTCAAGGTCTTAAAAAATAACTGAGAAATGAAGGCACTGCATGCCTTTGCGCTGCAAATTTCGAGTGGCTAGGATGACCACGTATAATGGCGGCCCCCTCTCCAGTAGGAGGCTTAAAAACACTGTCCCCAGTTATTACTTCCGTGTTAAATACATTGAAATTGAAATAAAGCGGGTCTTTTTTCCCTTCTGATATGTCGGGGCAAAATGGAGTCGTCACTACAAACTAACTACATAGTTGTCGAAGTGTAAACAACATGATCCCGTAGGATGGCGTTTTTGATGTGTGACGGATGAATGGAAGAGGCAACCGTGAAAACTAATAGAATTGTAGTGCACACTTCTATAAAGGCCGTTACTGGTATTGAAGGTTTGATGTCGAGGAAAAGCTAAGGAAATTTCAGGAATTTCCCAAGCTATATTTTTAACCCTGGAGGCCGGGAGAGAGTTGATAGACCGAGTTGACAAACTGGTTGAGTTCTTAATTCTTTACTTAATGAGATTGAAGTATTTTCTCTAAATACAACGGCCAAAAACCTGAGCCTTTCAAACGCTACAATGACGACTGTGTTTGCGAATCTCATCAAATAAAAAGACTGCATCACCCGTACTCTTAGTTAGTTGTGCCGTATTGAAAGCCCGACTTAGTAGAAAACTGCTCTAATCACTCGCTGTTGTCGAAAAAGGGGACAACAACAGCCCGGTTTTCGTCAACAGATCGGTCCCGTGTGAACAGAAATGGCGCGATCCAATATCAGATTAGATCCATTACTTGGAACCAGCCCCGTCTGCACAAAACGTAATCATTTCTCCAAAAACATACCTGATTGTCTGTTAACAGTCCTACTACAAAAGGTCCAATGATCCCTGGAATTGTTCCCGCTGAGTTTGTGATTCCCATCAGAACTCCCGAGAATCTAGGAGCGATGTCCAAATGATTGACACGGTAGGAAGCCGCATTAAGATTAGAGGCCCCTAGGGCCAGTGAAAATATAACAACAGCCAGGCTGGTGGAGTTGCAGCCAACATAACTTGTAGCTACCATCAGGCAGGCAGGTATAAGGTAACCTGTGATACAGAAACAGATCACTAAGTGAAACTGGAAAGAATTCTCAGAACGTCTACATGCAGATACAGTTGAAGCTCTCGACAACGGCCACCTTGAGAACAGAAGAAAGTGGCCGATGTAGAAAGGTGGCCGTTCTAGGGAGGTTTAAACAAGAGTCAATGTATGGACTGTCCGCCAAAAAATTGGCCGCTGTAGAGAGGTGGCCGTTAGCAAACCATTCAAACATTTACCTACTTACCAACAAATGAAACCCAATCTGTCGTCAGTCCTTTGACTGACTATTGCTTGTGGACAGAAACGTGGTGCAATGACCATAAAACAGCAAGAAAGGAGACTACAATCGCCCCATTTTTATACTACTCTTACTAAAACATGTTTAACCCCACAATTCTGAAGCATTGTCTTCCTATGACTTTATGTGTAATTGGCCGTGTTAGGTTCCAAAGGAATTGTGGTAAAATATACAGCCGCCAACTTTTTCCGTACGGTGGATTGAAAACAATTCTTACGTGGAAGTAAGTCAGGGGTAAATTAAAACAAAATGCATTATGGGCAATGTGAAAAAGGTTAATGACAGACACCAACCACCTCACCAACCTTTTGTATTAGTGCTCTCATTTTAATCCTTTGGTCCCAAGAGTGACCAACCTCAATTTTCTCCTTACAACATCAGCAGATCATCAACAGTAAAGATTATGAGAATTACTAAATTCATTATCAAAGGCACTAGGATCTTAAACCAAATTCTCTCAACTATTCTTAAAAGAAATGTATGGAGATCAGTCTGGAGAATTTGTATGTGGATCTTGAAGGCACTCACCTCCTGTAGCAAGGACTTTCCTAACCTCTCCAGTGGACAATACATTGTTTTCACGCATCCAGTCCGCAAGCTGACCAGAACCGATAGCAGTTACGTACATACAAACAAACGGAACAGCAGACAAAAGACCATTCTAAAATAATAAAAGTTTTAAATGATCAACATATTTTTAAGAAACCGATTGATTTAGGGCCTGTTTACATGGAGGTGGGGGACCCAAGGTAGGTGAGGTAACACGTTAAGGTGGGGTAACGTACCTTCCTGTCCATACAATCTCTCATATGGTCACCTCATCTATCATGTAAACGTGATCAAATTAAAATAAGGGCTTCGGGTACTAACCGAACACCTCATAAGTCACAAGCGAAGATGACAAGTGGAATGGACGACAACAAGGAAATTCGGATTTGTAAGCTGTACATTTACAGTAATAGCCCCATCTTACGATCACATTTTGTCGTCCCGGAACAACCATTCCGTTTTTGATGGCATTTACACTAAACCGGAAAACTCTTGCGTCTGCACGAAACCCGTAACGGGTATGGCTTCTGCCCACATACAAAAACAGCGATTTCGGCGTGATTTCAGGGTAGGAGCGAAGCCGCACCACTCCCATCTCGAAAGTGGAACGTCACTTAATATCGGAGAGGTTCGGCGCCAGTCTTTGTCAGCAGACTTGCACCGTTCTAAACCCTTTATTTCACTGGTCCCCTTTAACCTGCACTTCCACTGTTTTCAGGGGATAGGGGCATTGTTATGTGACAATCCCTATTGTTTTTCCAGCTGATCAAAGACAATCTTTCAAATAGGTGCGAGATTGCCCGTCTTTGTACCCATTCCACAAGCGATCTATCATGAATGCGTCTTTAATTCTCACCTGAGAAATTGAAAAGTTGAGAACTTCTTTGAAATACGACGGCAAACAAGTAAGAAAGGTGTAAAAACCCCAGTTGTTGCAGAAATGTGCGACAATTATCCCCCAGACGGCTGGTGAAGTAAAGATTGCAAACCATGGGGTGCCATATTTCTGAAAAAATTAACAATGTAGTTAGTGGGTCACATATTCCTAAACCCTGAAAAACCCCTGCCACTCCTCCACCCTACCCCCTCCCCCCACCTCGCAAATTCCATTCAACTAAAATCTCCTGATTAAATTTCTGGCAACTTCCAGTATCAAACAGACCAGCAATTGCCAAAATTTCGGAAAGAAGAGGACAACCACGCGAGGTGTACCCAGCTTTACAAAAGTTTCTTCCCGGAAGTTTTGTTTCCATTCATTCCATTTCGGTTGCCGAATCGTTCGCCTTTTGGAAATTCAACAATTCAGTTTTCTTGCCTTCTGGGAACTTTCGTGGGAAATTTCCGTACAATTTGCCACCCTTGCTCTGTTGAAAAGCGAAAGGAAATAGGGAATACTGGGAGTGTCGCAGGGCACACAGGCAAGCCTATTTGAACGTTTGGAGCTAGTATGCGTGAAAGGCGTTTGAAGTGGAGGGCAATGGGTAACACCAGGGGAGGGGAGCAATAAGGGCACGCGAGTCCCTTAATCTCCTCAAACCCTTCCACACAGGATAGCCACTCTCAGTCGCATAAAGCCACTACGTCTTCCTTTCTTGCTAAGAAACAAGGGAAGCCAAAAAACTTGTGAACAAAATGATAGGGCTTCGATGATACACCGATACATCGGTGAAGTACGGTATTTCTTTTCTTTATATCAATATCTGAACAAGATTTCCCGATATTAGAATACAATAAATTATGCTACATCAACAAGTTTGTGAAATCACTGTCAAATATTCCTCACCAAAACTCTGCACTTTAGCCCTAAAAGGCGACTTTAATAATGGAAACAAATGAAAATGCAAACCATCCCTGAGGAGAAAAAAAAAATGGGAATAAAGACGCCCAAGTCCCTTCCCCTGAAATGCTTGCCACCACGCTCACCTGGAAACAGGATACCACTCTCAGACACGAGTAGTGGCGTCTTCATTTATTGGTAAGAAACAAGGGTAACTGGCCAAATAGTCAACAAAATGATTAATAATTGTAATAGGAATGAGTACGAGTGATTAACAAAATCGGAAACCGCTGGAGTCCGATTTGTTTAATCACGAGTATGATCACAGACCGAATTGGATAACACAACGTTCTGTTACCAAATGAATTGATCATAGCTGTAGTGAATTTGCGAAATTTTAGGCTTTTTTTAATCAAAACACAAGAATTTCCGACAGCTTTTTTGCTAGCAGTCAATCTCGACCCAAAGCTCTTCTGCGCATGACTTACGTGCGGAATCAAAAAGCCATTCAAGTGCGCACGCGCAATGGTGAGTACTGTCCCATTACACTGTTCTATTAGTGCTGAATTTTCTTATAGTTATGTTTAGCGACAAAAGGGTGCCACTAAATAAAGATAGCATAATTCCCGTACTCTTCTTCCTTTGTCCTGTTCTGCTCCTATGGTAGCATGAATATATTCTCTCTCTTTGATGGATATTCTTGGATGAATAGCTGGTCTGTTGTACGTAAACATCATCCAGATGAAAGACCATAAAATGCCAACACAACCTAAATCACACATTTAATTCAAGTTACTTGTAAATGACAAACTTACAGCTCCAAAACAAACAAATATATGTCTTCCCGAGGTTGCAATTGATTATTTAAGGTTATAGTAACAGATATAAACTTTCACTTTGGCGGTCAGATTAAACGGTTTCAAAAGCCCCACTCACTGCAGTCGGTTTCATCTTCTTTAGTTTCGACCATCCATGCCTTCCATAGTTTATTTGCTACGTTTTTGAATGTCCCTTTACTGCTTTACTTAACGTCAACATGAGAATTGCTTTTTTCTTCGGTTAGCCACCTTTTTCATGCTGAGTTTGGTAAATTCTACAATTTTTTTATGGAAAATTGCCAATTTCAAACAATTTGGTAACGTTCATTAACGAGTAGTATTTTTTTATATATTACACTCTATTTGGTGGCCATTCCCAGCTCTTTATAGCGGAATTCGGTTCAACCGCGTTGCACTAACTACATATCAGTTATGTCTGGGTCTCCACTAGAGATGTCTCTAAAAATAGAAATGTCATCATTGGCAATTAGGTATACCAAAGAGGGAGGGCTCCTTATTCATTGTATTGCAGGGGAAATACTTACCAAAGACATAAAATACAGATGGCCATCCTCCACAGATGTCAGACGCACAGAGAACTCCTGCCAATGGCATGCCAAGAATAGTTCCAAGTTCTTTCCCTTTGTGATACGAAAGGCAGAAAAATATACAGCTATTCTTGCACTGAACTTGTTTACATCTAACCTTGAGGTGCATCTATCTCTTATTAGGGAGCTTAAGTAAAGGCGTTTAAGTAAGCCCCTTTCTCTTTTAATCAGCCATAACGCTTCCAAATTTGTATTGCTAAGAGTCTATAGTCTCAAGGCGATTCGAACGAAAATTTGGGCAAAAAAACTGCTCAAGAATTGATCCACTTCTGGTTGACGTGTGCGTCGCTGAAAAACGTCTTTGCTTAACCTCACTAATTTTGACCGTAAAACGTATGAGCAACCCCTAATTTCTGGCGAACGTTGCTTGGGAGATTTTACTGTTTTGACCGGAGTGAATATGGAGGGTTGTGTGCGAATCCAAATATGTACGAACTCCAGCTCACCAAACCGGCATTTTTCCAACTGAGTTCACCGGGTGGTAGTTAACAACTGGATTAAAACGTACTTACCTTCATAAGAAAAAGTGATCAGTTTGCTCCTTTCCAGGGGAGGGGCCCAAAAGCTCCACATGGCATGCATAGCTGGGAACGTTACACCCTGCAGGGAACATGACATTACAGGAATTTTTCACAATACGCCTTTCAGGACATCATCGCGCAGAATGAGTGGACATCATTAGTTATTCATGACCGCTTGTAAGCACGCACTACATGAGCCATTTAAAGTGAGATACCAGGGAATGAAAGCCGAGAATAAATAATAGCTTCCATGGCCTTTCTTTTCTTTACTCTGCTCTATTACAAGTTGATATGCAAGGCGGTATTCACTACAAAGGAAATACCGCACAGACTTCGACCAATGAAAGTGATTCAGTTCACGCTTCACCTGTGATACGACTGTAGGTGAAAAATGCCAAGGGCAGAATAGCCACCTCTTTGTGACCTTTGCTGACCTGACCAAGGCCTTCGATACGGTAAGCAGAGACGGTTTGTGGAAGACAAAGGAGAAGTTTGGCTGTCCCAGCAAATTCATAACGACCGTACGACAGTTTCACGAAGGCATGATGGTTAAAGTTCTGGACATGACGGAGACGAGTCAGAATACTTTCCAGTGAAAGTGACTGATGCCTTCCATGACTGCCAAGACGGAATACCGGTCATATACAGGACTGACGACGGGCTGGTTCAACCTCAGGCGCTTGAAGGCTACTACAAAGGAGGAGACTGTCATCAGAGACGTCTTGTTTCCTGATGACTAGCTGTGCCCTCAGCGCCAACACACAGAAGATAATGCAGCATGGAATGAACTGCTTATGTCAAGGCTGTGACAACTTCGGCCTGACCAAAAAGACTGGAGTCATGTATCAGCCTGCACCTGGAAAGCCTTACCAGGAACCACACATTACGGTTAACGGGCAGAACTTACAGGTAGTTGCCAACTTCACCTACCAGGGTAGCACACTCTCAAGAGTGGTTCATATCGACATGCTGAAGTCAACAACAGGATTGCTAGGGCCACAGCGTCGCCTTCGGAAGACTCCGGGAGAATGTCTGGGAGCAGACAGCCATCAGCCTCTCTATATACTAAGCTGAAGGTTTACCGTGCAGTGTTACTCATCACTCTTCTCTACTCATGTGAGACCTGGACTGTGTACAGCAGACACGTACACGCCAACCAGCTTAAAGATATCCACCTGAGCTGCCTCCGCAGGCTGCTCCACATTAGATGGGAAGACAAAAATCCTGACATGGAGGTCATAGAAAGGGCGGGCATCCCCAGCGTTGACACCCTCCTACAGAGAGCCCAGGTAAGATGGGCAGGCCATGTCGCCAGAATGCCTGGTTGCCGACTACCAAAGCAGGTATTGTATGGAAAACTCCGTCAAGGCAAGTGGCCTTTTGGGGCAGAAGAAACGTTTCAAAGACATGCATCAAAGACGGCCACGAAGTTTATCTTCGACATGGTTATCTTCGACTTTCGAAGGACGAACAACAACAAATACAATGGCCGAGAACAATAGCCATTCTGCGCGATGTTTTAATTCAAGTGTCTGTTTATTTGTACAGACTAAATTATACTGATGTGAACAGCACTGCTTTAAGTATAAACAAGACAGGAGGGGTTAAAGGTACATGTAAGAAAGCAAATCCCTATTACATAGGTTTAGCTGGGAATGATACTTTACAGAAATTCAGAATCACGTTTACGGCAAACGGCAGACTTCAATTTACACCATGCACGTGGCCAAATTCAATCTCTTCTAAGGCACAGCAATAGGTTTCATTTTAGTTTCATCCACATGACTTACTTTCAACATTTTTTCTTTGCTGATATTCCTAATTTGAAACTCGAATTGTCAACCTGAATCTGACGTTTGCCGTTAAATAGCTGTACACATGATTCCTGGAATCTCCCGTGTGTTCTTTATGGCTTTTCCCTGATAAAACAACAACTATTTCCGAAAGTCTGCACAAAATTAAAAGATAAAATTAATGAATTGATTTATAAAACAAAACGAAAATTTAGTTCGAATCACTCGAACTTCATCAGCAATGTAGTTTGAGATTCGGTTGCTTACTTTATCTTGGGTATTCCCAAGAGAGGATTGTGAATAGTTGGGCGAATTGTTATTGAAAAGCCTTTTTTCATAGAGCCTGTTCATGAAAAATCTATCTCCCACTCTTAATATGGTCTCTATCGTGGGGAGAAGGTTACTTTTAAGGGCTGGCAGATGAGTATTGAGCACGTAAACAGCGAAGCTATTTCAAAGTTTACATTCATGAGGTAGGTAAAAAACTTGCGTCATAAATCCATATACACATACATCTGCTTTATTTGAACTAATAACCGGGCTTATTTAGGATTGCCTTCAGTTAGAATAGCTTTTTACTTTTCATCATAATTAGTATAGGAGACTGGTTATGAAAGCTGGGAAAAATCAAAGTTGGGAACGACGCAACAGTGCTGTAGCTTATGCTGGACACTCCTTGACCATGCACAATCCTTTGTTTTTTGTTCACAAATTTCGACTGAATAAATTAATGCGATGTTTCTATTGTCCTGTAAGTTCAAAATGATAGGAATGCTAGAGAACGTTGTGCACGGTTAGGCCCAAAAAAGCTGAAAAAACCTTACAACAAAGGAGTCTAATGGGTTTCATAAACATTGCACTTTAATAACTGTGTTTTCATTTGACCTTTTCTTTCCCTTTGTTGGGTTTTACAGGATTAATACAGCCTGTGTAGCAGGCGTTAAAATAAGAAGGGGAAGGGGGAATTTGGGTGCGCAAGGATGCCAGGGTCTCTAAGGGGTGGGAAGAAAGGGGTTCCCTTGTTTCCCCTCCACGCGTGCCCCTCGCACTCTTGTTTGCAGTTAAATTCCCCCTTCCCCTTTTCTTTTTTTTTTTGCCTGCCACGCAAGCAAGGAAACATTATAGTTAGTACTAAAATCCACTACAAAATGTTTGCAACTTAATAGTTTACCTCTCCTAATCCTTCCAGTATTCTCACCAGAATTAACATCCCAACACTATGACGTGCAGCAAGAGGAGTGAAAATTGTCAACACAGAAGTGAAAAGCACTCCCAGGCCTAACAAATATTTCCCACCAAACCGTGTTCCTAGCCAGCCACCTGGTAACTGAGTGATGACATAGCCAAAGAAAAATGAACCCAGAATTAGACCTATAAAGAGCCAAAAACAAAGTATTCTGATCAATAAATAAGAATCTAATAGTACAATGTAGCACATCCGCAAAGGGATTCTTAATACCCTCTATCCAATATTACCAGAACAAAATGAAATAAAATGATAAAATTCAAACTCCTTTAGATCTGAAAACAGCAATATTGTGATAACCATTCAGATTGGGCATAGACTAGAGTATCTAAACACCTAAATGGCTAACCAATGTAGCTCATGTTAGGTAAGAAGAGAGATGAGGTTACAATATGGCACACAAGAAACTGCTTGTACAGTCAACAACAATAACAACAACTAATAGTGCAATGTAGCACATCCACAAAAGGGTTCTTCATTTACCCTCCATGGAAGGCTGCAATTTTGAGCAATTAAAATGAAGTAACATGATAAAATTCAAACTCTCCAGTCCTAGACCTGAAAATGGCAATTGTGATAAACCATTCAGATTAGGCATAGACTAGAGTATCGCACTCCGTGTGGATATGCTAATGACAAGTAAGTAAGCTTCCTTTAAATCATCATCATTATTATTAATAATTAGTATTATTATTACTATTATTATATTTATCAGTGGCAGATCCAGGGAAACGGGCCTGGGGGGCCTGGGCCCCCTCCTTATTTTGAGACCAAACTGAGGCCGAAAGATTTTTTGGTTGAGACCCGGCTACCCTGACCCCCCCCCCCCCTTTTTTTTGTCAGGCTGTGGATGACTGGGCTTCCCCCTCATCGGAAGGTTTGGATCTACCACTGATTATTATATAATTTACTGTTATTATTTTTGTTTTTCAATCAGTGATTTCTAAATGTCTTTGTCCTCATTTCTGATTAGAAACACATTTATCAATGCAGACAACTTTAGGAAAGCAGACACAAGCTGATATCCCACATGGTAATGGGTGTGTACTTAACGCAGGTTTCACCATATAAGGTTTCTCCAATAAAGACAGCAAGCCACTCCTTATTTTTCTTTTGAGTCACAGTTGATCATGAGCATGTGAGAGGATAAGGTAGTGAATGGAAGATCATGAGCACATGGCGGATCGAGTGGCAAAGCTGCAAGGAATGAGGGTGAAGCCCGAGCGAAATAAAAAGTCATTTTTTGATTCTCCCTCCACCCCAATCTCTCCTCCTTTTTACCCCTCATTTGCATAATTTCACTATTTGCCTGCCGCACATGGCTCTGACGAAAGAATGACACCCGCCCACATTCTAGTCCAATACTGCATCCCATGCAATGTACTTTGACAAAGGGCTGCTGGCTCCAACAAAAACTGCATGAAAATCATTGATTTGCAAACCTAAGAAAAATGGATGCTCAGAATAAAAATTTATTGTGCATGTATTTGCCAGAAGCCAATGAGTTCTGCTAAAGTACAGCCCAGCTTATTATTATTATAAATTATTATTATTATTTATTTTTTCATTTTTTCTTCAATACCGCCCTCCAAAAACATATTAGTGCACTTTGGAAATTCTTAAAGTATTATGGTTCTCTTTAAAATACACTTGAGATGAAATCTCAGAATAACTCAGTTCACTTATAATAAAACAACAATTCAATTTACAGGATAGAACAAAAAAAATTTGTACACGTCACAAGCTGTAGAAAGGTAACAAGTACTCTAAAGACGCTATGACTACATCGCTTGTGACAGTACAGAGAGTCTGAATGGATAGTAACTAGCTGTGAGTTCTATCTGGTGAGTAACACTATTTTGCAGTTCCTGTAGCTGGAAAAGGGAGGCAACGCTTCTTGTATTAATTATCAAGTCAAGGCATTCACTGAACAATAATCTGCAAAGATCTAGATTACCTTGTGTTTTTTGATCCCAGTTAAAGTCTCCATCCTACAGAAGAAAAATAATTACATATAGCATTTCTTCACAAAGACAAGGGTTCAAATACAGGGTCCAGAGGAGATGTGTTGGTCGTTATAGAACATCAAAACCCGTCGAAAACCTCTGAAAAATGGGCTATTTTGATCGCCTTACAGTTTCGTTACGCATGGTATAGACCGCAAACCAAGAGACTGAGGGCTCGCGAGATCGGCTTACAGTATAAAATACGCAAAGCAGTAGATCATTGGGCTAATTAATCGTGCGAAGCGACAGGTATAGACATTTTTCAAGGTGAGACTTTAAAGTAGGTTGAGTTTGATAAGCAATTTATTGATTCACACGAAACTCCTGTGGACGATCGACCCTGTGGTTCAAAGTCCCAGTTGATCTGAAATGTTCAATGTAACAGAGTGAAATGTTCCTGCAAAAAACTGTCAAACAAAACTTCTGAACTACAAAACCATGGAATAGTGGTGATCCAGTTGGCTTTATTTGCCAGTATCATCCAAGAAAAACACAATTATCAGGCGGTTTGTGTATAATATGGCAAATTATGCATGTCTACATAATTCTTCACACCAAATTATTGGTACCCACTGTAACTTTGTACAAAAAACTTGCTATTCTCTGTGCCCGGAAATTCAAAAATGGAAATTAAAATGCATCATTTGGGCATGACTCGAGGTTGGTTTGGGTCTTGACAAACTGCGAGCCAGCGAGCCAGCGAGTCATGCGAGTTGAGCCAGCGAGTCATGCGAGTCATCATGTGAGCCATTAGAGACAGATGTTAGTTCCCAGTCCATTTTCCTTGGCTATTTGGCACGAGTTTTCGCTATCCTCGCTCTCCTTTGAATATCGTTTTGTTATCTGCCTTTTTCATCTTTTGTTAAGGTAAGTTATGTTATTTGTTATTACTTCTCACGTGTCTTAAACCGCTAACATAGTGGGAACCGTGAAACTGAAGATAAGACAACACTAAATGGACATTACACATGCGCAACTAGTGCCAGTCCCCAATCCCGCTTTAGAAATGAAAAAGCGCAAAAGTTCAAAGGAAAGAGAATCCATTTTTTGGCGAATCATAAGCAACTTGACTTTTTTTGACATCTGTTGCATGAAATTAGCGTTCAGACGAAAGCAAGAAAGTCTTTTAAAGAAAATGTATGAAAATACCCCTCAATGACGTCATAGCTTTTTCGATAAATGTGAATTTTGAGAACGAACGTTAAACTTGTTAGTAAAACAGATTTTTTATTGCGATATTCTTAAGCCATTGGCATTGGTTTTATTCTGAAAGATGCAAGACGTTTGGGTTTTAAAGAGTGTTGTTTTTTATGTTCTGGTCACGTGACTTACCACATACGGTGTGACTCATTAAACGTGACCGAGGAAGAACCTTTAAACCTTTGTTTAACGCATTCTCAAACCTTTGTTATTGTTTCACCTCGTTCAATTTGTATGTTGGCAAATTTTTCTGAAGCTGAATTTTAAAGGAGAACTGAAGTAAAAAATCCCTCCATTTTTGTATTTTTTTTTAGGTGGCTGTAGGTGTAAAAAATTGAGTTTTGCTCTTTCTTCTGGTTCGTTTATTATTTTTTGCTCAAAAAATCGATTTGAAGTCTTGGTTTTCGCGCCTTTTGGGCCCGATCATCGTGGGCTCATCTTAACTGTCAGCGGCATGTTATGACGTAAGGTATGGGGAAGGCTCGCAATCGCACAGTAGCGCGTTCTTATACACGCTTTTAATAATTCGGGGCGCCATCTTGAATTTTTAATTTATGACGTCAATCGCGGAAAGATTTCAGCCGCCATCATTGAGTTGTGACTCGTGAGATCTCATCATGTCAGGAAGAGAGACCCAGACAGGTCAGTCTGAATCGCTTTATTCCATTTTTTTTCGTACAAACATTAACTACTGCTTTCACATCTTTTTCCTAGAGACACAGCAAATAGCTGCCGAGAGAATACATGTTGAAAGGGCCATTAATAAGATTAAAAACTTTCATCTATTTGATCAAGTTATTCCATTATCTCTGGCTGGCTCTATCAACCAGTTATGGACTGTATGTGGATTGCTGACTCTTTTTCAAAAACCGATCATTTCATGACAGTAGATTTGTAGTTGTTCTGGTATCTCTTGAGTAATTATCAGTGTCATGTTTGCCTTATGTTACAGATTCAAATGTAGCTGAGTGTTCCAATTGCCCTATCAAAGTCTCTGAGCTACTAAATAAAATAAACTTACCTAGGAGCCTTCTAGATGGAATGCTTGTATGTCAACATTTTATTCAACAGGTGATGTTTAAAATACCTTTTTCATACAAAGTATATCCATTACAACATTAAAACTGATAATATAGAACAGTTTAATAAAGAGTTAGTGTCATGTGGAAACTTTTAAGAGTGGTGTCCCTTGGTTCTCTAAACCTTAGACTTAAACCTTCATGGCCTCTGGCATTACATGCAGCTGATAAAAGTTTGTTAGTTTAGTAATCATTGACTTCCAAAATGGCTCATCAAACTTTATTCGCTGTACAATAAGGCCTTTCTGAAAAAATACTAGAAAATCACACCACTTTAATCCTGCCAAACCCATCTGGCCTTGTACTTGATAGTAATAAGGGTGATCCTTTTTAAGCTCAGGCTTACCATTAACTAGTTGGCAATAAAAACTTGGGTCAGCACATGCCTCCTCAGGTGTCAGGTGTCTTAATGAATAGGGGCATTTGATTTCTACCAAACCAAAACCAAATATTTTATCTATCACCTTTCTGTCTGGTGAAGCAGCCAACCATGGCATTGTGCTGGATACGACAAGACCGCACTCTAAGACCTGAACGCCATGTCCAATACCTGTCATGTATTCAGCATACTTATTTGCTGCTTTAGCCTCGTTTGAAATCCCGTACCTTATAGAAGGCACATTGGAAAGATCCTTTGGTGACAGCAAATTTTTTTGAACAAACTTTGTTTGAGATATGTTAAGTTTTCGGTTGCAAACAAGTCCAAAATTGCTACTAGTTAACCTTAGTCTTCTACTTTGAAACCACAAAGGGTTGTTGCTTTGACCTCTAGTTTCTCGTTCAATCAAAGATGGATTAGGGACATTCAAATGACTAATAAACCGGTCCTCCTGATAAGAAAGGGGCATTTGCAATCCCACTCCAGCTGGTACATTAGTTTCAATGGGGAGGTCAGGAAAGTAGTCACCAACAGCTCTGGGTCTTTGCAAGACTGGAAAATTTGTTAAAACATTGAAGTTTGCTTCTGTTAGGGAGAGCTGGTAGCTTAAAACACTACCACATGGAACCATGTGTCCATTTAATTTAGTTGGAATCGTTGCAGGTTTTTGTTCAAACACAGTACAGAATCCTAAAGAAGGATTAATGCTTTTCAGTGAATCAAATAAATTATTTGCCCCCACGTTATTTTGGACCATTGGTTGTCTGGCTTCATAAAAAGTACACTTTAAACCCTCTGAGCTCTTGTCCCTGTATTTAGGATTGATCACATTATATCCCATAATAGGTTCAGGGTTTATACCCTGGGTTCTTGGTTTATGCCACTGTTGGGGGTTGTCTGTGCATGTTCCAATTCTTGGGAATTCAGGGGCCTTTAATTTAATGACATGATCAATCAGATATAATAAACCCATGGTGTGATTACAATACCCATTTGCACCTGCTGGACAAGAACACTTAGCCCCCTTAACATCTCCAGTAGTTAACAGTATCACAGTAACATTATGAGGCCTTTCATTTTTCTTTTGTGATCTAAAGCACTTCCCTTTTACATGGATTTCATTTTCTTCAAGCTTACATAAAACATCGTGACAATAATTTTCATAGAAAAACTTGTACCCCTTTTCGAGGGGCTTTTCAACATAGCTTTTTGCTTCTCTTCCGGGTTTTTTGGCATGTTCAACAATATTAAGGTAAGAAAAACGCTTTGGAAGAACTGAGGTATCAGTACTCCAGCTCTCTTCAACGTCTACATCTGTATCTGTAACCAGTGCTTCGGGCTCTTGGCTTTCTGGATTTCTAAGCTGCTCCTCCCCAGAACAAAATCTGCATCTTGCTTTTTTTGCTCGTGTGTATGCTTTCCCGGGATCAGGGTCGATCAGAATAAAATCTTTATCCAAGTTCTGTCTTACCCTAAAAGCGATACATAAATACTTAAACGCTAATGATCGAAAACAGAAACATTCAATGGAGATAGTATTATAGTACATTTTGAAAGGTAATCGGTGCAAACAAACTTACAAACCTTCAAGAGAGGTCACGTCGGTAATAAGCTTAATTATCGCATTAATGTTATCGTTTTCGTTTGACAAAAACGCCGCATAAACAATCAAAAATAAAAACAAGTTGGTCTATAATAAACGTTTACCTTGAAAGAAGTTCAGCTCTTGTTTCTGTTGACTTATAACGTAAGCCACGGCAGTTAAGCCAGAACTTTAATTCGCTTTTTTTGCATTTTTCTAAATCGGCCCTCGATATCATTGATCCTGGAATATCCTCGGACGAAAGCTGAAATAAATTCAAAAGCACCAACTTAAATTTTGTTTCGCCACTAAAGACATTTGTGTTTACAAAAGTACACTTGATTTAAAGGGAAAACTCACCTCAGTACATGTACAAACTGCGGGTTCATCCTGAGTAGCCATGTTGGCCACGTGGAAATCTTTCCGCGATTGACGTCATAAATTAAAAATTCAAGATGGCGCCCCGAATTATTAAAAGCGTGTAAAGCATCAACCTTTGGATCTCCTCGCAGCGTCTGTTTCAGTAAAAAATATCGATTTAACGTAATGAGCGGAGTTCAACCATTTCAGTTTGAACCCACGTATCCTCCTGGCCAAGAACCAATCGATCTGGAGGAAGAAAGTGAGTCAGGTGATACAAATCAACGAGATGCGAGAGGAAGAATCGGCAGCACCGAATGGTGCTCTTGTGGAGAATGCGTGGCAATGGCAACGGAGGAAGAGTGTTTTTGTTGCCAAGAACTGGCGGAACTGAATCAAAAGTTCGATGAATCAGGTTTGTTTTTGTTTTAGGTCGCTTCTTTTCCCTCGATGTATACACTAAGAATACTGAGAAGGACATCGCGGTCAAAACGATTATTTATTATTTGTTTTTGTCTGTTAGGAGTTGGATGTATTACGGAGCACGCCAAATTCAGGATTGTTTGCCTTGATACTGACGTGTTAAATACTGCTCTAGTGGCAATTCACAACATACGCTGTAATCCCTTGCCGGATCTCATTGAGAACAGGTGAGTTGTTGCTTTGTTTTTTTTTGTTTTTTTGGCCCGAAGGATCGTACCACCAAGCATGTACTCTGTAAATATTTTCTATTTATGCTTATTTTGCTTTTTCAATTTTCCTAGAACTTGGCGCTTAGCAGCTTATCGCCAGTTTACATGGTGGGCACATGGCGCCTTAGGAAAGAAAAATCGGCGAGTGATTCCAGCGTGTGTTGTGAAAGCCATTCGACACGAGTTTCCTGATAAAACTGGACAATATGCCGGGTTCAAGGAAGCAGAACTCGAGCTAAGTTAGTTTCAAGGTAAACAATCCTGGTCTTGGCGAGTAAACATTGTTTTACCTTATGACAACCGGGCATAAAAATCCTTGCAGATCGTTTCATCCTTCGCAAATGCATGTACATTGTCTAACTAAAAAATAAAATTAAGCTTATCTGTATAAAAATTGTGATGTTTTGCTTCAATCCATTTTGTTGCATTTCCTTTTAAATTTAAAGTAATTGGTTATTGAATAATTAGAAGGTTGCAAAATAGTAATTGAAATATTTCAGCGAGTTTTAACAGTAATTTTCAGTATTTTTCGAAAATAAAATCTTGACCGGACAATCAACAGCATTTTGTTATTATAAGTGAAATCATGTAGGTTGCAAAGCAGTTATTTTTCGGTCGTAGTAATACAGTAATATTCAGTATTTAAATTCAATTTTGTATGAGCAATCAGCCGGATTTTTTATCAGTGAAAAAAAAAAAAAATGATTAAAGCATGACTTGTGTCGGACATCTGCGAAATTTGTCCCCTCTTTGATGTAATGTTGACATATAAATATTTATCTTAGCCCTTATTCTCCCTAGAGTCAATGTATTTTTAAATCACGAACGTAACTCTGTGCATGAAATTCTGTGAGGTGACCATTCAAGTGAAATTTCTTCGGCTAGAACTGAGGTGCCATTCAAGTGAAATTTCTTCAGGTACATCTCTTTACTGGTGAAAATGAGTCCTTTTTTGTGAATTCACATATTAGAGTTTGAAAAGTTTTGGACTAGAGTTTAGCCACTCCCAAGAGAGTAAGGATTAAGATTGATAGAAAAACCAAATAATATGATTGAATTCAATCCAAACACTTAAAGCTAACCTGTATTATACATACATTGCACTTTTTGGTATTACAACAATAAAATATGTATTTGTGTGTTTATATAGAATCAGGAAATCTTGATGTGTGCTTTGCAATGACATCTGCTTTGGCAGGCCGAGGTTTTGTAGCAATGTTACGTGGGATGTGAGGTGCTGTGAGTGTTGCGCTCCGATCAGCAGCATCTTGCAACTTCCTTGCCACTATTGAATCAAGGATGGGTTTTAAGTGTTCTCTTGTTGTCTTCTCCATGATAGGTTTTGCAACCCATTCCTTCGTTTGCTTTGGGAACACAACCTTGTACCTCAGTTCCCCCTCATTCTCGCCCCTTGAAACAGTAGCTTGCTGCCTCCCAGTGTTAGCATTGTGATCGAGGGCTGCTAACTGTGTGCGAGCAACCATGCCCTTGTATGAGAAGTGCTGCCGCTTGGAAAGGTACTTCAGTTGTACACTGTGGTACACTTCCAGTGTTCTAGTGTGGCAGTTTAGCGTTAATTGCTCGATGTCCTTAAGGAGGGTTTTGTCAAAAACAACCTCCTTAAGAGCCTCGTGCGCAGGGGAACCAGGACGAAGCCACCGCTTTGTCCTTGCCTCCTCTCTAGGGATGGGTGGGTGGGGACATTCATGATACAAGTCAGCACTGCCCCATGAGTGGATGTTGGCTGAGTGGTGGACAATGGAGATCCACTTCTCACGTAAGAGATTCTTATCCCCCTCGCAAGTGTCTGCACACCACCAAAGATGGTTAGAGACTGACTTGATCCAGGGGAAAAGTTCACTACATTCTTTCCTCTTGGCCTTTTCTGTGAGTTTTTTAGTGATACTTTTTGCTACATGCCAAACATCGAACTGGTGTTGTACATGTGGAAAATTCTTTTTCATATCAGACCGTATACTGACATGGCGATCTGTGGCGACTACTTTTATGTTGGCTCCTCTGTCATGAATATTCTCCATACATCTTTTGAACCCCTCCCTTTCCATTGCGTTGCTGCTGGTCACCTCACTAACCTGAACAATTTGAAAGTCAATTATCTTGTCACTGAATTGATCGATCATGGTGTATGTCCCATATTTAGCACTGTGTCCGGGACTGTCACATCGACCATCTCCAGACAGCCACAGGTCTTCAATTTCAAGCTCACTGAAAACAGAATTTTGCTCCGCCTGCCAAGCTTCATTAATTACAGGAAATAAGTACATATTTTGAATGTTGTAAAATGTCTTTTCACTAAAAATTTTCCAGTTCAAAATTTCAGATAAAGATACTATTTTTGTGTACGTTGCTCCACTTAGTAAAATTGCTGAAGCCAGTAACAAGTTTCCAGCAGCCATCCCTTTGAGCATGGGTTGACTCTTCCAAAATTTTATGTGCCCATTTTTACATTTTAGGGTTACACAGAGTTGACTTCCCCGAGTGGACGTTTCTCTTTTGCTTACTACTGCCCCACATGTAGGGCATCGATGCAAAAGTTCATCCAATTGTTCCATAAATACTAGGAATTTGCTATCATTTTGGGGAGTTTGAGGTTTCAACTTTGATGGTACTGACATTGAAACTTCTTCCTCCTCATCCTCATCACTTTCCTCACTTTTAGAGGGGATATACGATGGGTCTTTGTGAGGGGATACATTTTCAATACTCTCATTTTCACTGCCTGGTTCTTCTTCAGTGTTAAAGAACCAGGCTTCCCCATCAAAAAGTCCTGGTTCCGTCTGAGTGTACTGGTCACAAAGACCAAAGAAGTCAGGTGTTTGGGTCCCTACTGATTTCAGCATAAGACTCTCTCCTCGAGTGTTAACTTGACATCCAAAATCATGCGTCTCTATAGGCGAGCTAGTAGGAACCGATGCGATGTTCACATTCTCAGGTTCCTCAAGAACTTGTTCACTGGGGCTGGCTGTTTGTTCACATGCACTTGAAGTACTAGGTTCTCCAACAGCAACAGGTAGGGCAGGGTGAGAGGATGTCACAGAGCTAATGAACTGCAATAGAAGGAATTAGCCTCTATCACCAACCCAGATTTAGAAAATGATTAATATTCCAATGAGAAAATACAGCAAAGGGCTTTTTCATTACTGCAGGTTTTAACATTGCGTGACCGTGTTTATGAACATCCGTGGATAATAGTCTACCATAAGATCAGCTCGCAAACTCTTTTTTTTTTTTTAATGCGAATTGACAATCCTTACCTCTTGTTTAGATCTCTCCTGGAGGCGCCTCTCAGATGATAGTCTCGGCTTCTTTTTCGGACGGTGGTCGAAAATTGTTGGCACTGCATCTGGCTTCAAATGATGTTGGGTAGATTTAAGTCCAAGAAGTTCTGCTTTTAGGTCACGCTCGTAGCATTCAGGTTCGAAGTGAAACGAACATACCCTGGAATCTTTTGTAACAACAAGATCTAGCCGGGATAATTTCGCCAGCCACTCTTTCAAGAGCTTATCATCAGTGGGAAATCTGTGGTAGCTTACCCCTTGCTTTCTACCAACATATCGAGAATCATTATTGCAACCCACAGCGCTACAGTAGACCATGATGAAAGATTTAGAATATCCCGATAACAGTACTAACTACGAAAGACAACGAACACAACGATAGAAAGTAAACCTTGTGCTACGAATAGCTTTATTTATACGGTTCGCGTTGTGCAATACCGGAAAATTTCTCCTCGTAACTCTCAAAAATTACGAAAGGTTGGACTCACTTATCGCCAACTTGCGCCATGATCAAACAAACGTGCTTTGTAGAATAGTGCCCCGTCATTGTGCCCTTTGAGCTGATCGAGAATAACACAGAACACCGTCGAAACGATCCACTTTCATACTATATAACCTCATTAAAACATTAAATTATGGCAACTTCTGCCGGTGCGTCTACAAATAATAAATAAATGCTACCAGCGGGAAAGTTTGTAACCTGTACAGCTTGTAATAAAGGGAACACTTTAATTGACCAAAATCAGTAAAGAAGAGAATGTTTAATTACAAAATAAATCGACGCTTACAAGTTGCTGCAAGCAATTAAAATCCTTGATGTACAAATTTCATATTTTTACTCTGTTAATATTTCTGCTACACGTACGTCTTTCAAACAGATGTACAGTAAACGTAAGTTACCTACGCAGTTCTTGTTTACAGTGTCGCGCCAACGTCGCCTCATCCACACTTTTATCCCGAGGAGATCTCCGAATTTAAAGATTAAGCCTATACAGTAAAGAGTGTGGCAAACTGTTAGAATATGCTATCCTTGGCATTTTCGGTACAATTTTCCCTTGAAGACAGCTGGACACCGAGCTTGGGTTCTTCAGTAGGCTTTTTGTGGAGCATCCCGTTTCTTCCCCATACGTGACGTCACACGCTTCGAAAACAACCGCTGACGGGCCGATTCTGAGCCGCAATGCTAAAGGCCCATAACGGCGAGCAAAACCATTTTTTCGAGTGGGAAAAAAGGCAAAAAATCACAAAAAAGACGTCAAACATTAATGTTCGGGTCTTAAGCATTAATTTAAAAAATGGTTATTTTTTTACTTCAGTTCTCCTTTAAAGGACGTGCCTTTGGAATAAATACGTTACTTAGTCACAGAGGCTAGTTTTTTTGTAGTTCACGTTAAAAACAAAGTTATTTTATGCTGACTGGCATGGCTCGCTTGTTGACTCGCATGGCTCGCATGACTCGCTGGCTCGCATATTATACACACTCGGTTGGTTTTCGCTTGATTCGTGGCTCGTGATTGACTCATGCATGTTGTTGGCTCGTGAAACGGCAAAAAAAACGTGTGACACACACATCAATATTCTTGACCTGTATACCTGTACTTCGATGTATTGTTCTTCCTTGCCATGCTAGACTGTTCAGAGTCCCCTATTTTCCCATACGATCGTCGAGATCGACGGCTTTGCGTTACGGGCTGCCATCTTGCAACTACTTAGCGGGCAGGGGGGTGGTTTGGGAGGAAGCGAGAAACTTGTTTTTATTTTTATTTTTCTCGCCCCCTCCCGCTAGAGCTATATAATCCCCGACGCCCGCCCGCTCCGTACATTTGAAAATCAAGATGGCCGCCATTAATGATGAGACGCGCTGTATCACAGGTGTCCCAAGCTCACTACAGGAACGCAGACGTGACTCTCGCTTGCGAGCGGTGTTATGTTACATACGGTTATTTACAAAGGCTTGTATAGGATGTAAACGGTTTTTCTTAAAAGAGAAAAAAACATGTTATGTGTTTAAATAAAATTGACTTACCTTATTGCCTTGTAGTATTCTTTGTTGTTTGCCCGCGTCTCAGGCAGTTTTGAAGAGTTTTCGGCGAGACGCGGGAAAACAACAAAGAATACAACACGCGTACCTGTAGTGTGCTTGGGCGGCCTGTGGCTATATCTCGACAATCTCACGCAAAAATAAGGGACTATGAACAGTCTATAGCCAAGCTTGCGTACGATAATTGATCACCATGTCGCAAATACAGTACACTAGACTCCTTTCCTTCTTACCTTTTTCTCGGAATCTGTGGAAGAATTTCTTTGACATTCCGGGTTATTTGCAGACGCCTGTTCGTTCGCGTAGGTGGAATTGACCATGGCCACCAAAGCCACGCTCAAATTCACTCGGAGAAGATACACCACACAAAAACCCGAACAGGACAAAGCTGCTAGAACGTATCGAGCGGGTATATAGCATCTTGACTGCCGGTAAGAGTTAGAGCTATTTTCTCGCAAAAGTGGTAAGGCCTCCTCCATTGCCAAAGAAATAACAGGGCTTTGAGGTTTAAAGTGCAATTCACATGCTGCACACTGCTGAAGTCACGAGAGAAGTAAATTTTGAAATACGCGGCAATCCCTGGAACCTGACTTTCCTTTATAAAAGAACTGAACAAAACTTTTTGGCTAGGTATTAGCTTCTTAAACCCAAGTACCAGAAGTACTATTTCTCAATAGCCTAAAGTGCGGTTATCAGTTTGTTTGTTTGTTTGTTTTGAAATTTCTCAGCTTTTACACTCTGTCTTTTTTTATAAGAATACTTGTTTTTTGTTTTGTTTTTATGGTCTAGGCTGAATGTTCTTCTTTTTCTGTCCATTTTAGGCTGAAAATATTCTTGTATTATTCTTAAATTGAAGCTTATCTTATTTCCATTTTTTATAAGTTAAAACTTGTATTGGGGTATCAATGAACCGTTCATCGAACCATTATTAGCAGGGGCGGATCTAGGGGGAGGGTGCAGGGGGTGCCCCCCCCCCCGAGATGACTTGCGGTTTTCTAATACAACTGGTATTCTGCAAAAAAAAAAAAAAAACTATGTGGTTTATTGGTGTTGAAGTAGAGCAAGAGACGAGTGCACCCCCTCCTAAAAAAAATCCTGGATCCGCCCCTGATTAGCAACATTTGGCTTTAGTTAGTAGTTTGCTTGCTAGTTTTCTCGTTTAGAGAAAGGAACAATTATATCAGTTAAGTTAAAAACATTTAATTGTATTTTATTAACCACATTTTCAATACACAAAATTATATCCTATTGAAAATCTCAGCCTCAGGTTTATTCTTATAATAGTACAGCCGCGAATCGACGCGACTCAATGTGATAAAAAATCTATAAAAAAATAAAACAATAATTACTATGGTCGGCACGTTGTCTTGTTACATGTATTCCACGTCCAAGCAGGCAAAGGCGAATAATATCGACCTACAGTACGAGCCCGCGACTGAACACATCAAACACAAACCCTTGCTTTTACAAAATATCAATTTTTCACGTTGTCCTAGCATCCAGCGGTAGAACGATGATGTCGCAACCACCCTAGCATTCGGCGGCAGATTGTGAAGTTTCTGTAACCGGATCGTTCAAGTTTTTTATTGCCACAATGTCCGCCACAACAGGTATCCTTGGCGCTTGGGGAATATCAATTGGCACCAACTTGTCTTCAAAAGGTGAATTCCACTCTTGGACTTCACCACTCGCAAAAAGCACAAACGTTACCCAGCCGATTACGTACATCCCAGCAGATATGTAAAACACTTTCTGCCACTGAAGTCTTGTCGGCTGTGGAAAGGAGACAGTTAGCTATCGACTACAATTAATGAAACCAAGCCGTGTTTGATTATGTACGGGCTGTAGGTCAACTGGTAGTTGAATCATTATCTCGTTGCGTAAGCCGCTCTCTTCAATGGACAAGGCGCGGCAAGTTTTCGCTTATGGGTCTCAACGTCTGCATTTAAGTTTACCTTTTCAATACTAACACGTGACCAGTGACGTCACCAAAATTCAAACTAAGAAACTATCGAGGTATGAGGTATTACAGCACTTAAAAACCTCTATTTACACAAATTCTTGGTTCAAAAGGGTTCTTCGCTTTCGTTTTACAATAAAAGACGCTTAAATTTCCAGGCTTTTGCGTCACGCGGCATCAGCTGGCTCTTATGTGGGTTAAAATTGTGCCCCTCAATGAGACACTAACATGGCGTCTCCATACAAAGCCTCAAAATTTGGATAAAACGTTTTTCCGAATATCTCGCATATGAAATATCGCACAGACTTGATTGTTGGCGAGGCTTTTTGTACATTTGTCTTCTTTCATTTCCCAGATTCTGGACTTTCTTTATTGAATGGTTTGCATTTTTATTGTTGAGGGCGTGACAGTGAATAGATTGTACCATGCTAAATTTAAAGTACTGCTTACTAGTAAGAGGTTTTATTCAGTTCGTACTACTCACTATAGGATCGATTTCAGCGATAGACTTGGTTGACTCTTGTGTTTTAAGCATTCACTATATTAACCATCACGCGGGTAATTTTCGGGTTACTGACAATTTTTTTTATATATAACTCAAGAGGCTAATGTCGATGCAAGCTTCTAACGCGCCTGAAGCGATCGCGTTTTGACATCGAACGGACAAACCGTCTTCGCGTTATATTCCCTTCAGGCAACACGGCCAACTGAAAGACAGACATGAGACACAGACAAACAAAAAAAAGGAAGGCTTAGCTCAGGTAGTAGAGCCCTTGACTACAGAGCGGAATGTCGCAGGTTCGATTCTCGGGGCTCGAGAAAAACTCAAGGTCTTAAAAAAATAACTGAGAAATGAAGGTATTGCCTTTGCGCTCCAAACGCTCAGACTGACTTTTGAGTGGCTCGGATGACCACGCAAAATGGCGGCCCCGTCTCCAGTAGGAGGCTTAAAAATACTGTCCCCAATTATTACTTTCGGGCTAAACACATTGAAACTGAAATAAAGTGGGTCTTTTTTCTCTTCTGATATGTCGGGGCAAAATGGAGTCGTCACTACAAACTAACTACATAGTTGTCGAAGTCTAAACAATGCCGTAGGATGGCGTTTTTGATGTCTGACGGATGAATGGAAGAGGCAACCGTGAAAATTAATAGGACTGTAGTGCACACTTCTATAAAGGCCGTTACTGGTATTGAAGATTTGATGTCAAGAAAAAGCGAAGGAAATTTCAGGAATTTCCCACGCTATATATTTATCACCCTAGAGGGGGAGGGGGTTGATAGACCGAGTTGACAAACTGGTTGAGTTCTTAATTCTTTACTCAATGAGATTGAAGTATTTTCTCTAAATACAACGGACAAAACCCCGAGCCTTTCAAACGCTACAATGACGATTGTGTTTGCGAACCTCATCAAATATAGAGACTGCATCACCCGTACACTGAGTTAGTTGTGCCGTATTGAAAGCCCGAACGTTCAATCGTCGCCCGCTTTTACCAGTTAAGACCCCACTTATTAGAAAACTGCTCTAATCACTCACTGTTGTCAAAAAAGGGGACAGCAACAGGCCGGTTTTCGTCACAAGATCGGTCCCGTGTGAACAGAAATTGCGCAATCCAATATCAGATTAGATCCATTACTTGGAACCAGCCCCGTCTGAACAAAATGTAATCATTTCTCCAAAAACATACCTGATTGTCTGTTAACAGTCCTACTACAAAAGGTCCAATGATCCCTGGAATTGTTCCCGCTGAGTTTGTGATTCCCATCAGAACTCCCGAGAATCTAGGAGCGATGTCCAAATGATTGACACGGTAGGTAGCCGCATTAAGATTAGAGGCCCCTAGGGCCAGTGAAAATAAAACAACAGCCAGGCTGGTGGAGTTGCAGCCAACATAACTTGTAGCTACCATCAGGCAGGCAGGTATAAGGTAACCTGAGATACAGAAACAGATCAGTAAGTGAAACTGGAAAGAATACTCAGAACGTCTACATGCAAATACAGTTGAAGATCTCGACAACGGCCACCTTGAGAACAGAAGAAAGTGGCCGATGTAGAAAGGTGGCCGTTCTAGAGGGGTTTAAACAAGAGTCAAGGTATGGACTGTCCGCCAAAAAAGTGGCCGCTGTAGAGAGGTGGCCGTTAGCAAACCATCCAAAAATTTACCTACTTACCAACAAACGAAACCCAATCTGTCGTCAGTCCTTTGACTGACTATTGCTTGTGGACAGGAACGTGGTGTAATGACCATAAAACAGCAAGAAAGGAGACTACATGCAATTGCCCCATTTTTATACTAATCTTACTAAACTATGTTTAACCCCACAATTTTGAAACATTGTCTTCCATTTCTCCTGGGGCGACTGCAATACTCAGGGATAATTGAAAACTATTCTTATGTGGAAGTAGGTCAGACGTAAACTGAAGCAAGATGTATTATGGGCAATGTGAAAAGTGTGAATGGCTGACAAGTTCGCTAATTTGGAATAACCATTGTTTGTTTATCCACTTAAAATGATATAACCTGGCGACTTTAAAGAGACTTGTCAATTGTTCCTTCACGAACCTTTGTATTATTGCTCTCATTTTAATCCTTTTGGTCCGAAGAGTGACCAACATCTATTTCCTCCTAACAACATCAGCAGATCATCAAGAGTAAGGGTTACGAGAATTACTAAATTCATTATCAAAGGCACTGGGATCTTAAACCAAATTCTCTCAACTATTCTTAAAAGAAATGTATGGAGATCAGTCTGGAGAATTTGTATGTGGATCTTGAAGGCACTCACCTCCTGTAGCAAGGACTTTTCTGACCTCCCCAGTAGATAATACATTGTTTTCACGCATCCAGTCCGCAAGCTGACCAGAACCGATACCAGTTACGCACATACAAACAAACGGAACAGCAGACAAAAGACCATTCTGAAATAATACGAGTTTTAAATGATCAACATATTTTTAAGAAACCGTTTGATCAAGGGCCTGTTTACATGGAGGTGGGGGACCCAAGGTAGGTGAGGTAACCCGCTTAGGTGGGGTAACGTACCCTCCTCTCCATACAATCTCTCATATGGTCACCTCACCTATCATTTAAACGTGATCAAATTAAAATAAAAAATTATATAGACGGGCGGGTTTCCCCACACAAGCGCGTTACCTCACCTACCTGGGATCCCCCACCTCCATGTAAACAGGCTCCAAGTCGCACCCATCTCGAAAGTGGAACGTCACTTAATATCGGATAGGTTCGGCGCCAGTCTTTGTCAGCAGACCTGCACCGTTCTAAACTTTTTATTTCACTGGTCCCCTTTAATCTGCACTTCCATTGTTTTCAGGGATAGGGGCATTGTTATGTGACAATCCCTATTGTTTTCCCAGCTAATCAAAAACAATCTTTTAAATAGGAGCGGGATCGCCCGTCTTTGTACCTATTCCACAAGCGATCTATAACAATGCGTCTTTCTCACCTGAGAAATTGAAAAGTTGAGGACTTCTTTGAAATAAGACGGCAAACAAGTAAGAAAGGTGTAAAAACCCCAGTTGTCGCAGAAATGTGCGACAATTATCCCCCACACGGCTGGCGAAGTGAAGATTTCAAACCATGGGGTGTCATATTTCTGAAAAAAATTAACAATGTAGTTAGAGGGGTCACATATTTCAAAACCTGGAAAAACCCCTGCCACTCCTCCTCCCTACCCCCCACCTCGCAAATTCCATTCAACCAAAATCTCCTGTTTAAATTCCGGCAACTTCCAGTATCAAACAGACCAGCAATTCCCACAAATTTTGGAAAGAAGAGGACAACCACGCGAGGTGTACCCGGCTTTTCAAAAGATTCTTCCCGGAAGTTTTTCTCGTGTTCTCCCAACATCCCGCGCGCGTTATCACGCCGGTAAACCCGTAGAAATTGTTGTCTATCACTTAAATACCCTACAGATTAGTCAGTTATCTGCTAGCAGATAACTAACTTATTTGTAGGCTGCGCTGATTTGTAAAATTAGTTGTTGGCTTCTAGCCAGCTAATGAGTGCAATGTATAATAACAGACCGAATTGGACGACACAACGTTCTGTTTTACGAAATGAATTAATCATAACTGTGTAAAATTTGCGATATTTTAGGCTTTTTTTAAAATCAAAACACAAGAATTTCTGACAGCTTTTTTGCTGGCAGTCAATCTCGAGCCCATAGCTCTTCTGTGCATGACTTACGTGCGTAGTCAAAAAGCCATTCAAGTGCGCACACCCAATGGCGAGCACTGTCCTATTACACTGTTCTATTAGTGCTGAATTCTGTCATAGTTATGTTTAGCGACAAAAAGGGGCTACTCAAATAAACATAGCATAATTCCCGTACTCTTCTTCCTTTGTCCTGTCCTGCTTATGGCAAGCCAAATGTAGCAATATTCAATTCGTTTAATTTTATATGTAGTTTTGTATTATGTGTTCAACTATGCGTTTAATATTCAACTTATATTCAACATTCAACGCATTATTCAATATTCAACTTCGCATTCAACATTCAACTATTCATTTTATATTCAATTCCTTATTTACCCATTCAATTATCTATTTAACAATTTCAACCATTTATTCAACATTCAACTTTAATTTTTAAAACATTCAACTATTCATTCAACATTCAACTTTAATTCAACATTCAACTATTCATTCAACTCTTTTGAGCCCTCACTACTTCTGGTCAGTGACACAGATCATTGCTTGTTAAAAACATGGCGGCGGTGGCGGCTAGAATGCCAGCTACGGAAATAGAAGCTTATGAAGATGACACAAGGCTCCACTTCGATGTGGAGTCTGACTTTCCAAGGTTTCTTGACTCGGTTTTACGAAGAACTGACCAGATTTCCCAGACGAAAGTGGATGACGAAATTGTGGAGCAGCATATTATTATTATACGGAGCGTTTGCTTCGTATACCCAGGTATACCCCGAGACAGCAGTTCGAATATTAACGCCTATGACAAAGAAACCTTAGATAATCTCTCACCAGCGTTCAGTGATGTCGATCAGCCCTGCAGCAATGTTTAGCCAGAGCAGCCGTCTCCCACCACAATATTATTGTATGGGTATGACCCAGAGGGCCCCTTTCCTTCAGAAGAAGATAACAACGTTGTTGTCGAATCAATTTCTTTAGATAAAAGGCATTCAGTAGAGTGCTATGTGTTAGATATTGTGGACCCTCTAACACAGTCCACTCATCTGGGTATTGATCTTTATATTCATGCCCTAAACCTGGTCAGGGATAGAATGGAATGATAGTTAGATCTCCCTGGAACAGAAAATTACTACTAAGAATTCACAAGAATTGTGAAAACATGGGTAAAATTCTGAAAATTTCAAGTGTAAGATGTAATTTTGTGAAATTTGACATTCATTTTCTCAGACTCCCATGAGAAATGTTCTTTGGTGGGCTCGCTGGTGAAAGTGGAAACCCCAGATACTCTAAACAAGCATTATCTTTAAGTCGTATTATATTATTAGTAGTAATTTAAACAATTGAACATGCACCTGCCTTTTTTCAGACTTGTCAAAAAATGAGCATCTTCCTAGGGGTCAAATAAAGCCCGAGCCCTACCCACATTGTTTTTTTTTAGGGGTGTAGTTGTAATTTCCCCCACAAGCATCCTGATCACTTTTACATAGGAGCCTGTCCTCCTCACGTCTGGGTAGTAATTTTCTGTTCAAGGGAGATCTAACTATCATTCCATTCTATCCCTGACCAGGTCTAGGGCTTGAATACAAGAGGGTCGTGAAGGGGTAAAATGGGAACTGGGATTAGCCTTATTGTGGACTGGGAAAATGGGGTTTACTCACTGGGACTGGGATTTAGCCACTGGGAATGGGATGAACAATTATAAAATGGGAATGGGATTTCTTTTCTTCAGCGGTCTTTGCTCCAATATTTTGAAATAGAAAAATAAAATTTTGTAGCAATAGACCTTGCACTCCTCAGTAGAGACTGTGAAATCAGTATTTTTCGCCTTCGCGCCAGCGGTCTAGCTACTAGCTAGCAGTGAAAGCGGAGACAGTGAGTCAGACGAGGATTGTGCAGATGATAGAATTGGTTTTCATATGGTTATGTCAACAAGGGCTGGAAGAGAAAGAGTGTTCACCAGCAGAATGAGAGATTTTCTTCAGTCCAGGTGAAGATACGTGTATCCAAATAGCGTCAATCAGTGCTTTTAATTTATTATGTGCATGATTTTGCAAATAATCATTAGTAATGGGATTTTAGATTTGGTAACTGGGATTTTGGCAAAAATTAGCCTGGGAACTGGGATTTGGGCCAAATTTAGGCTGGGAACTGGGATTTGGTACCCCCCTTCACGACCCTCATACAAAGATCGATACCCAGTTGAGTGGACTGGGTTGGAGGGTCAACAGCATCCAACACATAGCACTCTATTGAATGCCTTTTATCTAAAGAAATTGATTCGACAACAACGTTGTTATCTTCTTCCGAAGGAGAGGGGCCCTCTGGGTCATACCCATACAATTGTGGTGGGAGACACGGCTGCTCTGGCTAAACATTGCTGCAGGGCTGATCGACATCACTGAATGCTGATGAGAGATTATCTGAGGTTTCTTTGTCATAGGCGTTAATATTCGAACTGCTGTCTCGGGGTATACCTGGGTATACAAAGCAAACGCACCGTTTGATCGACAACGACAATATGCTGCTCCACAATTTCGTCATCCACTTTCGTCTGGGAAATCTGGTCAGTTCTTCGTAAAACCGGGTCAAGAAACCTTGGAAAGTCAGACTCCACATCGAAGTGGAGCCTTGTGTCATCTTCATAAGCTTCTATCTCCGTAGCTGGCATTCTAGCCGCCACCACCGCCATGTTTTTAACGACCAATGATCCGTGTCACTGACCAGAAGTAGTGAGGGCTCAAAAGAGTTGAATGAATAGTTGAATGTTGAATGAATAGTTGAATGTTGAATGAATAGTTGAATGTTGAATGAATAGTTGAATGTTGAATTAAAGTTGAATGTTGAATGAATAGTTGAATGTTTTAAAAATTAAAGTTGAATGTTGAATAAATGGTTGAAATTGTTGAATAGATAATTGAATGGGTAAATAAGGAATTGAATATAAAATGAATAGTTGAATGTTGAATGCGAAGTTGAATATTGAATAACGCGTTGAATGTTGAATATAAGTTGAATATTAAACGCATAGTTGAACACATAATACAAAACTACATATAAAATTAAACGAATTGAATATTGCTACATTTGGCTTGCCATACCTGCTCCTATAGTAGCATGAATAAATTCTCTTTCTTTGATGGATATTCTTGGATGATTAGCTGGTCTGTTGTACGTAAACATCATCCAGATGAAAAACCATAAAATGCCAACACCACCTAAATCAAACATTTAATTTATAGTACTATTTCAACACCAATCTGTCAGTATGTAAAGAAACACAAACGTACTTATTCACGGCTACGCGCAAGATGGCCTCGGACCAGGCTCCGCATTGGGGGAAAAAGGAGAAAAAAATTGGCGTGCGGGAAAAAGAAAAAAATCGGCGAGCGAAATTTTTTTTTCCGCTCGCCAACATTTTTCCTATTTCACCCTTTTTCCCCACTGAGGAGCCTGGTCCCAGGCTACGCGCAAGACGACGCGATTCATAGCAAAGTACCATATATCGGGGGACAAACGATAAACGAGCCCATCACAAATACCGCGAAGACCTCTTCATTTCGAAATGCTATGGCGTTACTATTCAAATGAAACCCCTTTGACAGAACCGTTGTGAAGAACTACTTATTTTCCAGTGGTCTACAAAAGGATACTGGAATTTTTGTTGTGAAGTTTTTATCACCATTAGGAGTAAAAGGATATAAAGCACATGGTCATGAAGAAATTCATTTACCTATAAATATATGGTCTACAAGGGAGTTTCATAGTACTTTAACATTACTTTTGAGGTATCCTTTAAAAGTATCGTCATAATGGAGGGAGTCCCCATACTGAATGTACGCTTTCGTCAAAAGTATCTTACAAAAAGCTGAGGGTGGTGTCAGGGCGTAGATGGCATTTACTCGTTATAAAACTTTCACGTTGCCTCGAAATTTCTTGTAAATGACAAACTCACAGCTCCAAAACAAACAGATATATGTCTTCCTGAGGTTACAATTGATTATTTAAGGTTACAGCAGGGTTTGCAAATTTTATTGATGAGTGGAGTCAGTGTGACTTCTGCTTCACAAATTTTGGAGTTATTTTGGAATATTTGGAGTCAAGTATCACAACGAAAAAAGCCATTTTCAGACTTTCCAGCACGTGGTCCTGGCATGTATACACTATCGTGCGGGATACACGAATTAGCTGTGGCGGTCCGCTGACCTGGAAAGCTCAAATCCATGATGGCGGTCATCGAGTAAACGTTGATTGTAATTTACCCTCTTCCTGTTTTGTCGTGCAGTATAATTCTTTAATTTCGATGATTTAATTAAGGTTTACAACGTTTACAATTAACGTGAATTGTATTTGTTGTGAAAAAGGTAAGGACAAAACTGTGCTTGTTACCGCAAATTTCTGGGGTCGAAGTGGCTCCCTGTTTGTTACCGAAAATTTCTGGAGTCGAAGTGACTCCCTCCATAACCTCCGTGGAGTCATCTGAACAATTTTTGCGTAAAATACGCCAAATTTGGCGTACTTGCGAACCCTGTTACAGATAACAGATATAAACTTTGACTTTGGCGGTCAGATTAAACGGTGGTTTCAAAAGCCCCACTCACTGCAATCAGTTTCATCTTCTTCAGTTTTGACCATTCATGCCTTGATTTCCATAGTTTATTTGCTACATGTTTGACATTTGAATGTCCCTTTACTGTTTTACTTAACGTCAACATGAGAATTGTTTTTTTTTTCGGTTACAAACCTGCCTCATGCTGAGTTTGGTAAATTCTACAATTTTATATGGAAAATTGCCAATTTCAAACAATTTGGTAACGTCCAGGAGTTGTTTTTATATTACATTCTATTTGGTTGCCCTTCTCAGCTCATTGTAGCGGAATTCGGTTCAACCGCGAGGTACTAACTATATATCAGTTATGTCCAAGTCTCCACTAAAGGTGTCTATAATAATAGAAATATCATCATTGAAAATAGGTATACCCAGAAGGGAGGGCTTCTTATTCACTGTATTGCAGGGGAAATACTTACCAAAGGCATAAAATACAGATGGCCATCCTCCCCAGATGTCAGATGCACAGAGAACTCCTGCCAACGGCATGCCAAGAATAGTGCCAAGATCTTTCCCTTTGTGATACGAAAGGCAGTAACATAAACAGCTATTCTTGCACTGAACTTGTGCACATCTAACCTGGAGGTGCATCTATCTTTTATTAGGGAACTTAAGTCAAGGCGTTTTGAGCGACGAACGTCAACTCAAAGCCCGGGGGTACTTTAGGAATTTCTGGGTGGGGATGTGCCGCTGGGACCCTGGAACCCTTAACCTATACCAGAGCTAGTTCAGCTGAATTTTGCTACCCTATACTAGAGTAAACTCCCCAAATCCCCCTATCCTAGAGTAGCTGTTTCCCTTGTCTAGATAAAATCTTCAACCAACTGATCAGTTTCCTGAAAAATGATACCCTATTCTAGACCCAAACGCTCTGATCATATACCCTATCCTAGAGTAAACTGCCTGAAAACCATACCCTTCACAGCGGCACATACCTATTTAGCCCATATATGGCAGTACCGGGACTCAAGGTAAGCCCCTTTCTATTTTAATTAGCCATAACGCTTCCAAATTTGTATTGCTAAGGGTCTATAGTCTCAAGGTGATTCGACCGAAAATTTGGGCAAAAAACTTCCTAAGAATGGATCCACTTCTGGTTGACGTGTGCGTCGCTTAAAAACGTCTTTGCTTAACCTTACTAATTTTGACCGTAAAACGTATGAGCAACCCCTAATTTCTGGCGAACGTTGCTTGGGAGATTTTACTGGTTTGACCGCAGTGAATAAGGAGGATTGTGTGCAAATCCAAATAAATGCTGAATGGGCGACTGTATTATTATGAGAGCTCTGATTCTCGGATTTGAATTCACGAACTCACAAACTCCAGCTCACCACATGGAACCGGCATTTTTCCAACCGAGTTGAACGGGTGGTGGTTAACAACTGAATTAAAATGTACTTACCTGCATAAGAAAAAGTGACAAGTTTGCTCCTTTCCAAGGGAGGGGCCCAAAAGCTCCACATGGCATGCATAGCTGGGAACGTTACACCCTGCAGGGGACATGACATTACACGAATTTTTTACAATTGGCCTTTCGAGACATCATCGCGCAGATTGAGTTGACATCATTAGTTATTCATGGCCGCTTGTAAGCATGCGCTTCATAAGCCATTTAAAGTGACATATTCGCGAACAAAAGAATAAACAATAGCTCGCATGGCCTTTGTTTCTTTGCTCTGCCCTAACAATTTGATAAATAAGGTGGTATTATCTACAAAGGAAATAACGCACAGACTTCGACCAATGAAAGTGATTCAGTTCACGTTTCACCTATAATATTACAGACCTATGTTTCCACCTCGTCTGTAAGTGAAAAATTCCGAGAGCAGAATAGCGACCCCTTGTGACCTTTGTTGACCTGATCAAGGCCTTCGATACGGTAAGCACAGACGGTTTGTGGAAGATAAAGGGGAAGTTTGGCTGTCCCAGCAAGTTCATAACGACAGCCCTGGCAGAAGAAACGTTTCAAAGACTACCTCAAAGAGTCCCACAAAGACGTAAACATCAACCCCAGTACTTGAGAGTCGCTTGCCTCGGATAGTCTAACTTGGCGTAGCAAAGTCACCACTGTGGCCCCTGCAACAGAAAACCGACGGACCGCTAAAGCACAGAGGAAATGGCCGCGCGCAAAGCCAGAGCAACCTCCACCTCAACAGACTGCAGTAGCCTTCTGGGCTCGGATTGGACTCACTGGTCATCTCCAGACCCACTGCCGCTAGTCTGAAGTCTTAAGTCATGATTATCTTCGACTTTCGAAGGACGAACAACAACAACTACAATCAACAACAAGTACAACGACCCGAGAACAATAGCCATTCTGCGCGATATTTTATTTAAGTGTTTGAGTGTGTATTTGTATAGTTCAAATTGTACAGATGTTAACACTACTGCTTAAAGTATAAATACGGCTGGAGGGGTTAGAGGTACATGTAAGAAAGCAAATCCCTATTAAAGAGGAAATTAGCTTACAACGATACGTTAGAGAAATTTAGAATCACGTTTACGGCAAACGGCGAACTTCAATTTGCACCACGTGACCAAATTTTCTCGCTTCTAAGCAACAGCAATAGGTTTAATTTTAGGTTCATCCACATGACTAATTTTGAACAGTTTTTCTTTGCTGATATTTCTAATTTGATACTCGAATTGCCAACCTGAATTTGACGTTTGCCGTTAGCTGTCCGCATGGACTTGTGGAATCTCCCGGGTGTTGTTTATGGCTTTTCCTTACTAAAACAACAACTATTCCAAAAGTCTGCACAAAAAAATGTAATTGATGAATTAATTGATAAAACAAAACGAATATTTCGTTCGAATCACTTGAACTTCATCAGCAATGTAATCTGAGATTCGGTTACGTACTTTACGTTAAGAATTCCCAAGAGGGGATTGTGAATGGCTGGGCGGATTGTTATCGAAAAGCCTTTTTCATAGAACCTTTTCATGAAAATCTATTCCCCACTCTTAATATGGTCTTCATCGTCGGGAAAAGGCTACTTTTAAGTGCTGGCAGTTGAAAATATTGAACATGAAAACAGCGCAGCTCTTTTATAGTTTAAATTTATAAGGTAAGAAAAATACTTGTGTCATAAACCCATGTACACATGCACCTGCTTTATTTGAAATACTAACAGGGCTTATTTAGGATTGCCTTCAGTTAGAATGACGTTTTACTTTTCGTTTGACCTTTTCTTTGCCTTTGTTAGGTTTTACAGGATTTATGGAGCCTGTGTGGCAGGCGTTAAAGGGGAAAGGGGAAGTAGGAATTTGGTTGCGCCAGAACGCCGGGAACTCTGAGAAGTGGGGAAAAAGGGGAACTTCTCGCGTGCCCCTTGCGCTCTGGCTAGTGCTCTAATTCCCCCTTCCCCTTCCCCCTCTTTTTATGAATGCCACACAAGCAAGGAGTCATCAATTTTAGTACTAAAACCAATCCACTACAAAATGTTTGCAACTAAATAGTTTACCTCTCCTAATCCTTCCAGTATTCTCACCAGAATTAACATCCCAACACTATGACGTGCAGCAAGAGGAGTGAAAATTGTCAACACAGAAGTGCAAAGCACTCCCAGGCCTAACAAATATTTCCCACCAAACCGTGTTCCTAGCCAGCCACCTGGTAACTGAGTGATGACATAGCCAAAGAAAAATGAACCCAGTATTAGACCTATAAAGAGCCAAAAACCAAGTATTCTGATCAATAAATAAGAATCTAATAGTACAATGTAACACATCCACAAAGGGATTCCTTGCAAGAACAAAATAAAATAAAATGATAGAATTCAAACTCCCTTAGATCTGAAAATAGCAATTGTGCTAAACCATTCAGATTGGGCGTAGACTAGAGTATCTAAACAACCTAAATGGGTAGCCAAGTGTAACTCATGTCAGGAAAGAAGAGGGATAGGGGTACAATATGGCACAAAAGGAACTGCATGTACAGTTGGCAACAATAACAACAACTAATAGTGCGATGTAGCACATCCACAAAGGGGTTCTTTGCCCTCCATGGAACTGACTGCAATCTTCAGCAAAATGAAATAACATGGATAAAATTCAAACTCTCCTAGACCTGAAAATGGCAATTGTGATAAACCATTCAGATTGGGCATAGACTAGAGTATCACACCCCATGTGGATACGCTAATGACAAGTAAACACCAGAATCAAATAAATATTTGTGCTTCCTTTAAATCATCATCATCATTAGTAGTAGTAGTGGTGGTGGTGGTGGTGGTGGTGGTGGTGGTAGTAGTAGTAGTAGTAGTATTGCTATTATTATTATCAGTGGTGGATCCAGGGGAGGGGCCTGGGGGGTGTGGTTCCCCTCCTTATTTTGAGGCCAAACTGAAAACTGAAGGGCCAAAAACTTTTTTTTTGAGACCCAGCTTCCCCCCCACCCCTTTTCTCAGGGTGTGTATGACCGGGCTCCCCCCTTATCTGAAATGTTGGATCCGCCACTGATTATTATATTATTATTGTTGTAATTTTTTTTCTCTTCAGTGATTTTCTAAATGTCTTTGTTCTCATTTCACAGCTGATCAATGGCAATGGGTGTCTACTTAATGCAGGGACCATATAAGGTTTGTCCAATAAATTTTTCTTTTGGTAGATGAAAGGACCAACTGGTAAATGGTAGATCATGAGCACATGAAGGATCGAGTGGCAAAGCTGCAAGGAAATAAAATGAGAGTGGAGCCCAAGCGAAGTAAAAATGTCATTTTTCGATTCTCTCTCCAGCCCGATTTCTCCTCCTTTTTACCCTCATTTGCATAATTTCACTACAGTGAAACCTCTATTAAGAGGACACCTTCTGGACCTTCCCAAGTGTCTGCTTAATAGAGGGTGTCCGCTTAATAAGGGTTGTAAAAATTGCACATGTTGTTAAAGAAGCTATCCAGAGTTTAAGTTCATTACCTTTCATTACCACCTTTAATTTGTTTGTAAATGCAAAAACAATAACTGACTTCAATACATATTTCAAGGACGTTATCCAAATCTACTATTGTTAATTCAGTCCGGTGTCTGCTTAATAGACGTTTTTAACAATAGAAAATATAGCCAAATACAATAGAGGTGTCCGCTGAATAGGGGTTCGTTACAAAGGGAAATATCAGACGTTCATTTCGGGACCCAGCTTAGTGTCCGCTTAATAGAGGGTGTCCGCTTAATATTTTGGGGGTCCACCTAATAGAGGTTTCACTGTATTTGCCTGCCATACATGGCTCTGAGGAAAGAATGACACCCGCCCACATTCTAGTCCAATACTGCATCCGATGCAATGTACTTTGACATAGGGCTCCTGCCTCCAGCAAAAACTACATGAAAATCATTGCCCTGCAAACCTACGAAAAAAGGATGCCCAGAATAAAAATTTAATGCACAGTTGCCAGGAGCCAATGACATCTGCTAAAGTACAGCCCTGCTTATTATTTTATTTATTTGTTTGTTTGTTTTCAACGCAGCACTCCAAAAACATATTTATGCACATTGGAAATTCTTAAAGTGTTATGGTTCTCTTTACATTTAGTATGAAATGTCAAAATAACTCAGTTCACTTATTAATAAAAAACACTTCAATTTTACAAGATAGGAAAAAAAAACTTTTTTCATACGCCACAAGCTGCAGAAAGGTAACAAAGAACTAAAAATGCCACAACCACTTTGCTATGACTACATCGCTTGTGAGTCAGTACATTGTGCAACGTCATTACTTACACAGATTGAAATTTGTTTATTGAGTCTGAATGGATAGTAACAGTTACTGTAAATATATCTGGTGGGTAACACTACAGTGGAACCCAGTTAATACAGACACCAATGGGACATGCCACAGTGTCCGTGTTAACCAGGTGTCTGTATTAAGCGGATTAATTTTAGAGAAAATATATGAGCTTCTTTTTCGTTTTGCAGTTCCTGTTGCTGGAAAAGGGAGGCAATTGGTATTTATTGAATTCCTGTAAAGAGATTTGGTGAGCACATTACCTTGTGTTTTTTGATCCCAGTTAAACTCTCCATCCTACAGAAGAAAAATGATTACATGTAGTATTTTTCACAAAGAGAAGGGTTGAGAGTCCCTTTTGATCTGAAATGTTTTTAAAAACACCTTCCTAATTAAAGTTAGAATGTTATTAAACATGTTTGATGTACATGTACCATTAGGTAGTGTGAAAATGTCCCTGGAAGAGCTGTTAAACAAAAGTTCTGAACTACATAATAATCAAATAATGATGATATTGATAACTAAATTTCAATAAATAATCATCATTATAACTCAATATTATTATATTTGTTCAATATATTTCCCCAATTTCCAGTTGGCTTTGCTTGCCAGTATAATCCAAGAAAAAAAAACAATTATCAGTCGGTTTTTGTATAATATGGCAAATTATGTAGGTCTGCATAATTCTTCACATCATAGTCGGCCTCATCCAATAATTGCTATTGACTATTTTCATGCCAAATTATTGGGACCCATTGTAACTTTGTACAAAAAATTGCTATTCTCTGTGACCAGGAAATTCAAAAATGGAAATTAAAATGCATCATTTGGGCCTGACTCCAGGTTGGTTTGTGCTTGATTCGTGGCTCGTGATTGACTCATGCATGTTGTTGGCGTGAAACGGCAAAATAAAACGTGTGACATACCACATGAATATTTTTTACATGTACACCTGTACTTTGATGTATTGTTCTTCCCAGCCAAGCTTGCGAACGATTGATCACCATGTTGCAAATACAGTACACTAGACTCTTTTCCTTCTTACCTTTTCCTCGGAATCTGTGGAAGAATTTCTTTGACATTCCGGGTTATTTGCAGACGCCTGTTCGTTCGCGTAGGTGGAATTGACCATGGCCACCAAAGCCACGCTCAAATTCACTCGGAGAAGATACACCACACAAAAACCCGAACAGGACAAAGCTGCTAGAACGTATCTAGCGGGTATATAGCATCTTCGCTCCCGTTGAGAGTTAGAGCTGTTTTCTAGCAGGAGTGGTAAGGCCTCCTCCATTGCCAAAGAATGAAGAGGACTTTGAGGTTTAGAGACAATGTAGTGTAATTCACATGCTTCACTTCGCTGAAGTCACGAGAGAAGTAAATTTTGAAATACGCGGTAATCCCTGGAAACTGGATAGACGAGCAGAGGCTCTGGGAACTAGTTCGCACAGGACAGATAATTAAAAAAGATTTTAAAAAAATTAAACACAGCTTTCCAATCAACCTCGTTCCCAGAACGAGGTTGCTTTCCAATCAACAACGGTTTTTTTAATCTATATTTTTATTCAGAAATATAATTATATATATAATTTCGAATATTTTTAGACAAAAATAAACATATATTTTCTGACAACCATACAGTCATATGAAAAGAATCTTTTACTTTCTTACAGTGTTGTAATTAACGACATCTTTTCTCATAGACTGGTTCAATCCAACGTCTCCGGAATGTGAAGGTCGTCCTAGTGGGCCAGCATTTTAGGCTCCTAGCTGTTAATATAAATGTTTCCAATTCAGTTTGACTTTCCTTTTTAAAAGAACCGAACCAAACTTTAATTTTTGGCTAGGTATTAGCTTCTTTTCCACTTACCCAAGCACCAGAAATACTATTTCTCAATAGCCTAGAGTGCTTCAGGCTTATTGTTCTTATTTTTCTGTCGATTTTAGGCTGAAAATATTCTTGTATTATTATTAAATTGAAGCTTATCTTATTTCCAGTTTAGCTTGTATTGGGTTATCAATGAACCGTTCATCGAACCATTATTAGCAACATTTGGCTTTAGTTAGTAGTTTGCTTGCTAGCTTTCCGGTTTAGAGAAAGCAACAATTATATCAGTTAAGTTAAAAACATTTAACAGATTTTCAACACACAAAATTATATCCTATTGAAAATCTTAGCCTCAGGTTTATTCTTATAATAGTACAGCCGCGACTCGACGCGACTCAATGTGTTAAAAAAATCTATTAAAACACAAAACAATAATTACTATGGTCGACACGTTGTCTTGTTACATGTATTCCACGTCCAAGCAGGCAAAGGCGAATAATATCGACCTACAGTATGAGCCTGCGACTGAACACATCAAACACAACAACAACAACATATTGTTTGCATGACTATAATTATGTAGTCAATGTAGTTACAGTATTGCAAAAGCTTTAACATAAAGTTACAATTTATAACAATGATAATACAATGCAATGATTACTACTGTCAATCAAGTGTCATCAGCATGATTTGATATCAAATTAGTACGTAAATCATTACATGATGAGACAAATTTCAACAAATGTGAATTTAAGGAAAAATTCTGTGACTTCATCAATTTAATTATTAATTCTGTGTAAGATAGCTGATTAAAGTCGACAAAATTTTGTTGGATTTGATTGTAGAATTTCTCCCTTGGGATTGAATGTTTTGGACAATGGAAGAGAAAATAAAATTCGTCTTCAATTATACCAGAGTTACAAATAGGGCAGAATCTATCGTTGCGGAAAGTTTGATTATATCTTCCAGTTTCAATCATGAGTTTGTGGTTACTTATACGAATTTTAACTAAGTCTTTCCTATTGGCTGAATTTCTGATTAAGTCTAGAAAACTTGAAATTTTATAATCATGTTTAAATAAGCTGTAAAATTGTAGTTTCTTAGAATGATGGATTGTACGTTGCCAATATATAATATATCTTTGTTTTATCATATCTACATGGTGTTTGATCTAAACTTTACTTAAATTATTAGGATCAAAATCGGGCAGGTCATAATATTCAGATATTTTCATAAGATTATGGTAAAAGCTATTTTACCATTAGAGTAAAGTTCTAGCGAGGTACGAAAGGCTTGTTAATTAACAATAGTTTCCTCGTTTTTACACAGATGATACAATATGTAATAAAGGATGTTTTTGTAAATATTAATAATTAATGGGAATCGTAATAATTCACTTCTACTTGCAACATTTGAAGCTTTTTATTACTTATTTCTAGGTAACGCTTGCAAAATTTCACGTGAGTTTTTTCAGTTGGGGTATTGTCCCAAGCTCTAAAATCATGTTTTACATATACACCCCAAATTTCGCTATTATATGATAATATTGGGGAAATCATCCTTTCAAATATTTTGCAAGCAAGAGAAGGTTTTAATTAGCTAAAGTTTGTGTGTTTTCTTAAACTAAAAAGAGCATGAAGAGCCTTCTCTTTCAAGTGTTCGAGTGAGATATTAAAATTACCAGTTGAGGAGATACGGGTTCCTAAATATGTATATTCATGGACAATGTCAATGGTTTCTTTACCTATATGGAATTCTAGATTGGAGTTTTTCTTTGCTCGTTTTTGAAAGATCATAACTTTGGTCTTTTTGCAATTTATATCTAACATCCAAGAGTTGCAAAAAGAGGATAGTGTGTTGAGATGGTTCTGTAATCCTATTTTAGATGATGATATAATAATTAAATCATCAGCATATAAAAGCGAATTTAATTTGGTACCGTTTGGAAGGATGAAAACCCTTGCTTTTACAAAATATCATTTTTTCGCGTCGTCCTAGCATTCAGCGGTAGAATGTGAGGTGTCTGTGACGGCATTATCAGAGTTGTTTATAGACAGGATGTCCGCCATGACAGGTTTTCTTGGAGCTCGGGGAATATCAATTGGCACCAATTTGTCTTCAAAAGGTGAATTCCTCTCTTGGACTTTACCACTCGCAAAAAGTACAAACGTTATCCAGCCGATTACGTAAATCCCAGCAGACGAGGGGGGGGGGGACTAGGCATTTTCTAGAAAATTCACACAAGGCAGTGGTACGTTACTAAATAAGAGAGCAACACAAAAAATCATCTTTTAACATCTTAACATCTTTTAAATTTGTTTTTATTGTACATTTTACCTTTTTTGTTCACTTATTTGTTTATTTACTTATTTTTCACACCGAAAACTAAAATTAGCCCTTCGACGAACGCTAGGACTATAAAAAAGTTCAGTGCTTACTCCAATACTCACTTTTGAATCTGTGATTAGTGTCACAATTTAAACGAATTCTTTTTTATATTACTTTCTTGTGATACTATTTGTTTTTTTTAGTCACGTTTTACTAGAAAAATTGTGTAACAATAAAATTTGAGATTTTGTTTTTCAATTTTCATTTCTGCTACGTGTTACATAATAAGACCTCACACGAAAACCCAGTTTCAAATCTTAAATAACAAATAGAATCATATTTAAATAATCCTTTACTTCTTCATCGGAATGTGACCTCGGCAACTCTCTCCTCCGAGGAGGCTTCCGTTGGGTATTTCGATGAAAAAAGCAATAATTAAAAACTTCAGAGCGCGCGGTGGATGATGGGAAGAGGAAAAATGCCTTCCCGTCGCTCCCCTCGCGATTTCCTTTTTCCCTCTCCCCACTCTCAATACGACACAAAGAGGCCTCTGCGTAAGAGAGAGAGTCGCTGACTAGTTGCATCCGTCGGCGCTGGAATGCAAAAGTTATCTCACTGAAGGGCCTGCAATTTTAGGCTCCTGTGGTTGTTAGTAAAAATGCTTCCAATTCAGCTCCCTCATTCAAGGAATTAAACAATCTTTTTACCAGAAATTTGCTTTCCAAACCAAACTTTATTCTTGTTTCTTTTTTTTCTTTTTTCCTGTAAAAGAGAGCGAGGGTCCGCAAGAACTGCTGGTACCTCATTTATCACTCATCAGGATTTTTGGCCCTCTGGGATCTCGGATCTCAGTTATGAGTAACAAAGCCCTTCATTTCGCAGCTGACAGTTGCAACTATAACCATCTGTCAGCTAAAGATCAGTTAGGACCTATCCAGAGCCTAATTTCTGGGTTCAGGATACCCATTAACAAGACGATATTCATGTGGAAGGGAGGTGAACAATGTAATCATTCTTGTTAAATGTACCAGGCCCACACTCTGCGTTTTCGTTACTTACATTCCACGTCCCAGCAGGCAAAGGCAGAATAACATCGACCTATGGTAGGTTTACGAGCCCGCAAGACTAAGTATACCCCAACCAACCACCAAATGTTTTCGCCACTGAAACCGCTGGTCCACAAACCTGCAAGTACCTTAGGCCGATGATGTCGCAGCCACCCTAGCATTCGGCGGCAGATTGTGAAGTTTCTGTAACCGGATCGTTCAAGTTTTTTATTGTCACAATTTCCGCCATAACAGGTATCCTTGGAGCTCGGGGAATATCAATTGGCGCGAACTTGTCTTCACAAGGTGTATTCCACTCTTGGACTTTACCACTCGCAAAAAGCACAAACGTTACCCAGCCGATTACGTACATCCCAGCAGATATGTAAAACACTTTCTGCCACTGAAGTCTTGTCGGCTGTGGAAAGGAGACAGTTAGCTATCGACTACAATTAATGAAACCGAGCCGTGTTTGATACATGTACGGGCTGTAGGTCAACTGGTAGTTGAATCATTATGTCGTTACGTAAGCCGCTCTCCTCAATGGACAACGCGGCAAGTTTTCGCTTATGGGTCTCAACGTCTGCATTTAAGTTTACCATTTCAATCCTAACACGTGACCAGTGACGTCACCAAAATTCAAACTAAGAAACTATCGATTCTTCCGTGAGTTTCTGCTTTCATGAGGTATTACAGCACTTAAAAACCTCTATTTACACAAATTCTTGGTTCAAAAGGGTTCTTCGCTTTCGTTTTATAATAGAAGACGCTTGAATTTCCAGGCTTTTGCGTCACGCGGCATCAGCTGGCTCTTATGTGGGTTAAAATTGTGCCCCTCAAAGAGACACTAACATGGCGTCTCCATACAAAGCCTCAAAAATTTGGATAAAACATTTTTCCGAATATATCGCATATGAAATATCGCACAGACCTGATTCTTGGCGAGGCTTTTTGTACATTTGTCTTCTTTCATTTCCCATATTCTGGACTTTCTTTATTGAATGGTTTGCATTTTTATTTTTGAGGCCGTGACAGTGAAAATAGAGAAAATGACAAAATACAGAAAACGAATTGTACCATGTTAAATTTAAAGTACTGCTTAAGAGGTTTTGTTCAATTCGTACTACTCACTATAGGATCGATTTCAGCCATAGACTCAAAAGTGGTCACAGCATTTTCTCTCCGCTCCATTTTTGACTCTTGTGTTTTAAGCATCCACTATATTAACCATCACGCGGGTAATTTTCGGGTTACTGACAATTTTTTTTATATATATAACTCAAGAGGCTAATGTCGATGCAAGCTTCTAACGCGCCTGAAGCGATCGCGTTTTGACATCGAACGGAGAAACCGTCTTCGCGTTATATTCCTTTCCGGCAACAAAGCCAACTGAAAGACAGACATGAGACACAGACAAAAGAAGGATTAGCTCAGTCGGTAGAGCGCTTGCCTACAGAGCGGAATGTCGCGGGTTCGATTCTCGGGGCCCTGAGAAATACTCAAGGTCTTAAAAAATAACTGAGAAATGAAGGTATTGCATGCCTTTGCGCTCCAAACGGCTAGACTGACTTTCGAGTGGCTAGCTAGGATGACCACCTAAAATGACGGCCCCGTCTCCAGTGGGAGGCTTATTGTCCCCAATTATTACTTTCGTGCTAAACACATTGAAACTGAAACAAAGTGGGTCTTTTTTCCATTCTGATATGTCGGGGGAAAATGGAGTCGTCACTACAAACTCACTAAATAGTTGTCGAAGTCCAAAAATGCGTCAGATAAATGGGAGAGGCAACCGTGACAATTAATAGGATTGTAGTGCACACTTCTACAAAAGCCGTTACTGCTTATTGAAGGTCTGGTGTCGAGGAAAAGCGAAGAAAATTTCAGGAATTTCCATGCTATATTTTTAACCCTGGAGGTGGGGGGGGGGGAGTTGATAGACCGAGTTGACAAACTGGTTGAGTTCTTAATTCTTTGCTTAATGAGACTGAAGTATTTTTCTCTGAATACATCGGGCAAAAACCTGAGCCTTTCAAACGTTACAATGACGACTGTGTTTGCAAACCTCATCAAATAAAGAGACAGACTGCATCCCCCGTACTCTGAGTTAGTTGTGCCGTATTGAATGCAAGAACGTTCAATCGTCACCTGCTTTTACCGTTTATAATTAAGACCCGACTTATTAGAAAACTGCTCTAATCACTCACTGTTGTCATAAAAAGGGGACAACAACGGGCCGGTTTTCGTCGACAGATCGATCCCATGTGCACAGAAATGGCGCGATCCAATATCAGGTTAGATCCATTACTTGGAACCAGCCCCGTCTGAACAAAATGTAATAATTTCTCCAAAAACATACCTGATTGTCCTTTAACAGTCCTACTACAAACGGTCCAATGATCCCTGAAATTGGTGCCGCTGAGTTTGTGATTCCCATCAGAACTCCCGAGAATCTAGGAGCGATGTCCAAATGATTGACACCGTAGGTAGCCGCATTAAGATTAGAGGCCCCTAGGGCCAGTGAAAATAAAACAACAGCCAGGCTGGTGGAGTTGCAGCCAACATAACTTGTAGCTACCATCAGGCAGGCAGGTATAAGGTAACCTGAGATACAGAAACATATCACTAAGTGAAACTGGAAAGAATTATCAGAACGTCTACATGGAGATAAAGTTGAAGCTCTCGACAACGACAACCTTGAGAACAGAAGAAAGTGGCCGATGTAGAAAGGTGGCCGTTCTAGAGAGGTTTCAACAAGAGTCAATGTATGGACTATCCGCCAAAAAAGTGACCGGTGGCCATTAGCAAACCATCCAAACATTTACCTACGATGAAACCCAATCTGTCGTCAGTCCTTTGACTGACTATTGCTTGTAGTGTGGACATGAACGTGGTGCCATAAAACAACAAGAAGGGAGACTACATGCAATTGCCCCATTTCTATACTACTCTTACTTAACCATGTTTAACCCCACGATTTTGAAGCGTTGTCTTCCATTTCTCTTGGGACGACTGCAATACCCAGGGAAAATCCACCGTACCTAAAAAGATGGCGACTGGTACATTTACCCACAGTTCTTAGCTCATGGAGACCAGTTTTATAGGATAGGCAATGTTGCTAGACACGCGTGAAAAACGCAGTGCGCATGCGTGCCTTCCCTGCTTCCGGCGCGAATTTGCATGTGCCTCCCCCAATCGAAATTATACGCGATACCAAAACAAACTAGATTCCGGCCGCGAAATTCAAAAAAGTAAGCTCCACACACAAAAGATAAGCTTAGAATTTCACGAACACAAAGTTTATTAATTGCTTTAGTTTCTCTCTCGCACCACATACTTTCCTCCTTGCACCAAAGGCGAAAATCATGTTTGAAAGTCCACGCTCGCTCTGGCAGCACTTCGCCGTAGCCATTGTCGCTGTTTTGGTCATCATGTCGCTGAGCTCGGTCAATGCGAACAACGAAAACGACCAATGCATGCTAAGTGGAAAAACAAGGACGGAAAAACCTTGTACTGGACGACTTTACCAGTTAGTTAAGTTAGTTTAAGTAATTTTTTGTTGTGCTTAATACTAGAATCGGCTGCAAACCATTAAACATATCAAACATTCCTAAGTGTTTTTCAATTTAAATGGGGAAGATTTTGCAAATTTAAATTATTGAAAATAGAGACCTTGCGCATGCGCAGACGTTTTGCACACGTGTCATGTTGCTATTACAGGAACTAATTTCGCCCACCCACCCCCACCCCCTGCCCCCAAAAAATACCATTTTGGCCGTATTAGGTTCGAAAGGAATTGTGGAAAAATGTACAGCCGCCATCTTTTTCCGTGCGGTGGATTGAAAACAATTCTTACGTGGAAGTAAGTCAAGGGTAAATTGAAGCAAGATGCATTATAGGCAATGTGAAAAGTGTGAATGGCAGACAAGTTCCCTAATTTGGAAAAACATTGCTTGTTCATCCAGTTAAAATGATATAACCTGGCGACTTCAAAGAGACTTGTTTCCTCACGAACCTTTTGTATTATTGCTCTCATTTTTAACCCTTTTGCTCCCAAGAGTGACATCAATTTTCTCCTTACAACATCAGCAGATCATCAAGAGTGACGGGGATGAGAATTACTAAATTCACTATCAAAGGCACTGGGATCTTAAACCAAATTCTCTCAGCTATTCTTAAAAGAAATGTATGGAGATCAGTCTGGAGAATTTGTATGTGGATCTTAAAGACACTCACCTCCTGTAGCAAGAACTTTCCTAACCTCCCCAGTAGATAATACATTGTTTTCACGCATCCAGTCCGCAAGCTGACCAGAACCGATACCCGTTACCCACATACAAACAAACGGAAGAGCAGACAAAAGACCATTCTGAAATAATACGAGTTTTAAATGATCAACATATTTTCAGGAAACCGTTTGATTAACGGCCTGTTTACATGGAGATGGTGGACCCAGGGTAGGTGAGGTAACCCGCTTAGGTGGGGCAACCCTCCTGTCCATACAATCGCTCATATGGTCACCTCACCTATCATGTAAACGAGACCAAATTGAAATAAAAAATTATATAGACGGGCGGGTTACCCCACACAAGCGGGTTACCTCACCTATCTGGGGCCCCATGTGAACAGGCCCTAAGTCGCAAAAGAAAAACTGAATTCACAACAACTTAACTTGCACTGGCATGGAATGCGGAAAAACTAAATAAATATATAAGGGCTTCCGGTAGTAACCGAACACCGCATAAGTCAAAAGGTCAGATGACAAGTGGAATGGACGACAACCCCGGGGGAGGTACTCCCATACATTACCTATACGGGTATGTGCCGCCCAACGGGGTCGTGATTTTGAAGCTCCTGATTTAGAACGGGGTATCCATTTCAGAGGCGTTTTCTAGAACGGAGTATAAAAAATTGTGAATCACGGCTTTATCTTCTGCGTCAAATTGTTGCTGATTATGAAGAAGCATTTATTTGATGTATAAGTCGAACAAATAAAGAAATATCTTTTTTAAAAAAAAAAGGCTATTTCAATTTACAAACTTTCTAGAACGGAATATAAAAAATTGGCCCATTTCTAGAACGGGGTGTCAGTTTTAGGGCGAAGTCTAGAACGGGGTATAAAAAATTGGCCCATTTTTAGTACGGGGTATCAATTTTAGGAGAATTTGTTTTTAGAACGGGGTGCCAATTTGGAGTCCAGCGCGGCACACACCCACCCAAAAAATACCCAAGTGCCCCCCGACCCAACAAGGAAATTCAGATTTGTAAGCTGTACATTTACAAAAATAGCCTCACCTTACGATCACATTTTGTCATCCCGAAAACCGTTCCGTTTTTGATGGCATTTACACTAAACTGGAAAGCTCTTGCGTCTGCACGAAACCCGTACCGGGTATGGCTTCTGCTCACATACAAAAACAGCGATTTCGGCGCGATTTCAGGGTAGGAGCGAAGCCGCGCCGCTCCCATCTCGAAAGTGGAACGTCACTTAATATCGGAGAGGTTCGCCGCCAGTATTTGTGCCCCAGACCTGCACCGTTCTAAACCTCTTACTTCAGTGGTCCACTTTAATCTGCACTTCCACTGTTTTCAGGGATAGGCGCATTGTTATGTGACAATCCCTATTGTTTTCCCAGCTAATAAAAACAATCTTTCAAATAGGTGCGGGATCACCCGTCTTTGTACCCATTCCACAAGCGATCTATAACAATGCGTCTTTCTCACCTGAGAAATTGAAAAGTTGAGAACTTCTTTGAAATACGATGGCAAACAAGTAAGAAAGGTGTAAAAACCCCAGTTGTTGCAGACATTTGCGACAATTATCCCCCACACGGCTGGCGAAGTGAAGATTGCAAACCATGGGGTGTCATATTTCTGAAAAAATTAACAATGCAGTTAGTGGGTCAAATACCAAATAAATGCAAATTTCCCTCCGTAGATAAGCCCCTCCGAATATAAGCCCCTCCAAAAATAAGCCCCTCAAAAAGGGCCTTTGAAAAATATAAGCCCCGGGGCTTATTTTCGGAATTTTATGGTATTCCAAAACCTGGAAAAACCCGTGCCACTCCTCCACCCTACCCCCACCTCGCAAATTCCATTCAACCAACATCTCCTGTTTAAATTTCTGGCAACTTCCAGTATCAAATAGACCAAATTTCCGAAAATTTATGAAAGAAGAGGACAACCACGCGAGGTGTACCAAGCTTTTCAAAATTTTCTTCCCGGAAGTTTTGTTTCCATTCATTCCATTTCGGTCGAATGGTTCGCCTTTTGGAAATTCAACAATTCAGTTCTCGTGCGTTCTGGGAACTTTCGAGGGAAAGTTCCGTACTATTTGCCAAATGGGGAATACTGGGAGTGTCGGGGGGCACACAGGAAGCCTATTTGAACGTTTGGAGCTAGTATGCGTGAAAGGCGTTTGAAGTGGAGGGAAATGGGTAACACACGGGGGAGGAGAGCAATAAAGGTACGCGAGTCCCTTAATCTCCTCAGACCCTTCCACACAGGATAGCCACTCTCAGTCGCATAAAGCCACTACGTCTTTCTTTCTTGCTAATATAAGAAACGAGGAAAACTGAATAACTTGTGAACAAACTGATAGGACTGCGATGATACACCGATACATCAGTGAAGTACGATATTTCTTTTCTTTACATCAATATCTGAACAAGATTTCCCGATATTAGAATACAATAAAATATGCTACATCAACAAGTTTGTGAAATCACTGTCAATTATTCCTCACAGAAACTCTGCATTTTAGCCCTAGAAGGCGACTTTAATAATGGAAACAAATGAAAATGCAAACCATCCCGGAGGAGAAAAAAAATGGGAATAAAGACGCCCAAGTCCCTTCCCCTGAAACACTTGCCACCACGCTGAACTGGAAACAGGATACCACTCTCAGACACGAGTAGTGGCGTCTTCATTTATTGGTAAGAAACAAGGGTAACTGGCCAACTTGTTAACAAAATGATTAATAATTGTAATAGGAATGAGTACGAATGATTAACAAAATCGGAAACCGCGGGAGTCCGATTTGTTTAATCACGAGTATTATCACAGACCGAATTGGATGACACAACGTTCTCTTACCAAATGAATTGATCATAACTGTACTAAATTTGCGAAATTTTAGGCTTTCTTTTAAATCAAAACCGAAGAATTTCTGATAGCCTCTTTTGCTAGCAGTCAATCTCGACCCAGAGCTCTTCTGTGCATGACTTACGTGCGCAGTCAAAAAGCCATTCAAGTGCACACGCGCAATGGCGAGTACTGTCCTATTACACTGTTCTATGAGTACTGAATTTTGTTATAGTTATGTTTAGCGACAAAAGGGTGCTACTAAATAAAGATAGCATAATTCCCGTACTCTTCTTCCTTTGTCCTGTTCTGCTCCTATAGTAGCATGAATATATTCTCTCTCTTTGATGGATATTCTTGGATGATTAGCTGGTCTGTTGTACGTAAACATCATCCAGATGAAAGACCATAAAATGCCAACACCACCTAAATCAAACATTTAATTCAAAGTACACCAATCTGTCAGTATGTAAAGAAACACAAACGTATTCGTTCACGACAACGCGTAAGATAGCATGGGACCAGGCTCCGCATTGGGGAAAAAAAGAGAAAAACACCGGTGTGCGGGAAAAAAATTCGGAAAGCGAATTTTTTTTCCCCCACTCGTCGATATTTTTCCTATTTCACCCATTTTTTTGCCTTTTTCCCCCACTGCAGGGACTGGTCCCAGGCTACGCGCAAGACTACGCGATTCATAACAAAGTACCATCCATCGGGAGACAAACGATAAACGAGCCCATCACAAATACTGCGAAGACGACCTCTTCATTTCGAAAATGCTATGGTGTTACCATTCACATGAAACCCCTTTGACAGAACCTTTCTCAAGAATTACTTATTTTCTAGTTATCTACAAAAGGATATTGGAATGTTTGTTGTGAAAATTTTATCACAATTAGGAGTAAAAGGAATAAGTACATGGTCAAGAAGAAACTAAATTCATTTACCTATGGTCTACAAGCGAGTTTCATAGTACTTTAACTATCACTTTCGAGGTATTCCTAAAAAGTATCGTCGTAATGGAGGAAGTCCCCATACTGAATGTACGCCTTCATCAAAAGTATCTTCCGAAAAGGGTGGTGTCAGGGCGTAGATGCCAATTGCTCGTCATAAAACTTTCACGTTGCTTCGAAATTATTTGTAATTGACAAACTCACAGCTCCAAAACAAACAAATATATGTCTTCCCGACGTTGTAATTGATTATTTAAGGTTACAGATAACAGATATATAATCTTTCACTTTGGCGGACAGGTTAAACGGCTTCAAAAGCCCCACTCACTGCAATCGGTTTCACCTTCTTTAGTTTTGACCATCCATACCTTCCATAGTTTATTTGCTACGTGTTTGAATGTCCCTTTACTGCTCTACTTTAAGTCAACATGAGAACTGCTTTTTTCTTCGGTTACGAACCTGCTTCATGCTGAGTTTGGTACATTCTACAATTTTATATGGAAAAATAGCCAATATCAAACAATTTGGTAACGTCCATTAACGAGTTGTTTTCTTTTTTATATTACGCTCTATTTGGTGGCCATTCCCAGCTCTTCATAGCGGAATTCGGTTCAACCGCGTTGCACTAACTAGATATCAGTTATGTCTAGGTCTCCACTGGAGATGTCTCTAAAAATAGAAATATCATCATTGACAATTAGGTATACCCAGGAGGAGGGATCCTTATTCACTGTATTGCAGGGGAAATACTTACCAAAGACATAAAATACAGATGGCCATCCTCCCCAGATGTCAGATGCACAGAGAACTCCTGCCAATGGCATGCCAAGAATAGTTCCAAGTTCTTTCCCTTTGTGATACGAAAGGCAGAAAAATAAACAGCTATTCTTGCACTGAACTTGTGTACATCTAACCTGGAGGTGCATCTATATCTTATTAGGGAGCCTAAGTAAAGGCGTTTAAGTGAGCCCCTTTCTCTTCCAATTTTGTATTGCTAAGGTTCTATAGTGTCAAGGCGAGATTATAGTCTCAAGGTCTATAGTCTCAAAAAAATTGGGCAAAAAAACTGCTCAAGAATGGATTCACTTCTGGTTGACGTGTGCGTCGTCCAAAAACGACTTTGCTTAACCTCACTAATTTTGACCGTAAAACGTACGAGCAACCCTAATTTCTGGCGAACGTTGCTTGGGAGATTTTACTGTTTTGACCGCAGTGAATATGGAGGGTTGTGTGCGAATCCAAATACAAGCTGAATGGGAGACTGTATTATTATGAGAACTCTGATTCTCGGATTTGAATTTACGAACTTCCGAACTCGAGCTCAGCAAACGGGCGTTCTTCCAACCGAGTGGTGGTTAACGTACTTACCTTCATAAGAAAAAGTGATCAGTTTGCTCCTTTCCAGGGGAGGGGCCCAAAAGCTCCACATGGCATGCATAGCTGGGAACGTTACACCCTGCAGGGAACATGACATTACCGGAATTATTTACAACAGACCTTTCAGGACATCATCGCGCATGAGTGGACATCATTTGATATTCATTACCGCTTGTAAGCACGCGCTGCATAAGCCAGTTAAAGTGATATACCAGGGAACGAAAGAAGAAACAATAGCTCGCATGGCCTTTTTTTTCCTTCTTTACTCTGCTCTAACAAGTTGATAGGCAAGGCGCTATTTACTACTAAGGAAATACCGCACAGACCTCGAACAATAAAAGTGATTCAGTTCACCCTTCACCTGTAATATTACAGACTGACCAAAGTTTCCAACTCGACTGTAGGTAAAAAATGCCATGAGTAGAATAGCGACCTCTTTGTGACCTTTGCTGACCTGACCAAGGCCTTCGATACGGTAAGCAGAGACGGCTTGTGGAAGACAAAGGAGAAGTTTGGCTGTCCCAGCAAATTCATAACGACCGTAAGACAGTTTCACGAAGGCATAATGGTTAAAGTTCTGGACATGACGGAGACGAGTCAGAATACTTTCCAGTAACGAACGGCGTAAAACAAGGCTGTGTTCTCGCTCCGACGCTCTTCAGTATAGTATTCTCAGCCATGGTGACTGATGCCTTCCATGACTGCCAAGACGGAATACCGGTCATATACAGGACTGACGACGGGCTGGTTCAACCTCAGGCGCTTGAAGGCTGCTACAAAGGAGGAGACTGTCATCGGAGACGTCTTGTTTCCTGATGACTAGCTGTGCCCTCAGCACCAACACAGAGCAGATAATGCAGCATGGAAAGAACTGCTCATCTCAAGGCTGTGAGAACTTCGGCCTGACCAAAAAGACTAAAGTCATGTATCAGCCTGCACCTGGAAAGCCTTATCAGGAACCACACATTACGGTTAAGGGGCAGAACTTACAGGCAGTTGACAACTTCACCTTCCTGGGTAGTACACTCTCAAAAGTGGTTCATATCGATACTGAAGTCAACAACAGGATTGCTAAGGCCAGCGTCACCTTCGGAAGACTCCGTGAGAATGTCTGGGAACGGATAGCCATCGGCCTCTCTACTAAGCTGAAAGTTTACCATGCAGTAGTACTCACCACCTCTTCTCTACTCATGTGAGACCTGGACTGTGTACAGCAGACACGTACACGCCAACCAGCTCAATCATATCCACCTGAGCTGCCTCCGCAGACTTCTCCACATCAGATGGCAGGACAAAAATCCTGACACGGAGGTCATAGAAAGGGCGGGCATCCCCAGCGTTGATACCCTCCTACAGAGAGCCCAGGTTACATGGGCAGGCCATGTCGCCAGAATGCCTGGTTGCCGACTACCAAAGCAGGTATTGTAGGGAGAACTCTGTCAAGGCAAGTGGTCTTTTAGGGCAGAAGAAAAGTTTCAAAGACATGCATCAAAGACGGCCACGAAGTTTATCTTCAACATGGTTATCTTCGACTTTCGAAGGACGAACAACAACAAATACAATGGCCGAGAACAATAGCCATTCTGCGCAATGTTTTAATTCACGTGACTTTATTTGTACAGACTAAATTATACTGATGTGAACAGCACTGCTTTAAGTATAAACAAGGCTGAAGGGGTTAAAGGTACATGTAAGAAAGCAAACCCCTATTACAGAGGATAAGCTGGGAATGATACTTTCCAGAAATATTCAGAATCACGTTTACGGCAAACGGCAGACTTCAATTTGCACCATGCACGTAACCAAATTCAATCTCTTGTAAGCCACAGCAATAGGTTTCATTTTAGGTTCATCCATATGACTTATTTTCAACTGTTTTTCTTTGCTGATATTGCTAATTTGATACTCGAATTGTCAACCTGATATCTGACGTTTGCCGTTAGTTGTACACGTGATTCGTAGAATCACCCGTGTGTTCTTTATGGCTTTTCCCTGATAAAACAACAACTATTTCCAAAAGTCTACACAAAATTAAAAAATAAAATTAATGAATTGATTTATAAAACAAAACGAAAATTTCGTTCGAATCACTCGAACTTCATCAGCAATGTAGTTTGAGATTTGGTTACTTACTTTATCTTGGGTATTCCCAAGAGAGGATTGTGAATGGTTGGGCGAATTGTTATTGAAACGCCTTTTTTCATGGAACCTGTTCATGAAAAATCTATTTCCCACTCTTAATATGGTCTCTATCATGGAGAGAAGGCTACTTTTAAGGGCTGGCAGCTGAGTATTGAGCATTTAAACAGTGAAGCTATTTTAAAGTTTACATTCTTGAGGTAGGTAAAAAAACTTGTGTCATAAATCCATATACACATGCATCTGCTTTATTTGAACTAATAACAGGGCTCATTTCGAATTGCCTTCAGTTAGAATAACTTTTTACTTTTCATCATAATTAGTATAGGAGACTGGTTATGAAAGCTGGCAAGTTGGAAACAACACAATAGTGCTGTAGCTTATGCTGAACACTCTCTGACCACGCACAATCCTTTGTTTTTTTGTTCACAAATTTCGACTGAATAAATTAATGCGATGTTTCTCTTGGCCTGTAAGTTCAAAATAATAGGAATGCTAGAGAACGTTGTGCACGGTTAGGTCCAAAAAAGCTAACAAAATCTTACAACAAAGGAGTCTAACGGGTTTCATAACCATTCCACTTTAACAACTGTGTTTTCATTTGACCTTTTCTTTGCCTTTATTGGGTTTTACAGGATTTATAGAGCCTGTGTAGCAGGCGTTAAAATAAGAAGGCGATAGGGGAATTTGGGTACGAGAGAACTCCAGGGCCTCTAAGAGGTGGGTGTTTCCCCTCCACGCATGCCCCTTGCACACTCTCGCTTGCACTTAAATTCCCCCTTCCCCGTCCCTTTTTCTTTGCCTGCCACACAAGCAAGGAGTCATTATAATTAGTACTAAAAGAAATCCACTACAAAATGTTTGCAACTAACTAGTTTACCTGTCCTAATCCTCCCAGTATTCTCACCAGAATTAACATCCCAGCACTATGACGTGCAGCAAGGGGAGTGAAAATTGTCAACACAGAAGTGCAGAGCACTCCAAGGCCTAACAAATATTTCCCACCAAACCGTGTTCCTAGCCAGCCACCTGGTAACTGAGTGATGACATAGCCAAAGAAAAATGAAGCCAGTATTAGACCTATAAACAGCCAAAAACCAAGTATTGTGATCAATAAATAAAAATCTCATAGTACAATCTAGCACATCCACAAAGGGATTCTTTACCCTCCATCCAATATTGCAAGAAGAAAATGAAATAAAATGATAAAATTGAAACTCCCTTAGATCTGAAAACAGCAATTGTGATAACCATTCAGATTGGGCACACACTAGAGTATCTAAACACCTAAATGGCTAACCAATGTAGCTCATGTCAGATAAGAAGAGAGATGAGGCTACAATATGGCACACAAGAAACTGCTTGTACAGTCAACAACAATAACAACTACTAATAGTGCAATGTAGCACAGCGCACATCCACAAAGGGGTTCTTTACCCTCCATGGAAGGCTGCAATCTTGAGCAAAATGAAGTAACATGATAAAATTCAAACTCTCCTAGACCTGAAAATGGTAACTGTGATAAACCATTCAGACTGGGCACAGACTAGAGTATCGAACCCCGGGGAAGGGCCCGGGGGGCCTGGGCCCCCTCCTTATTTTGAGACCAAACTGAGGGAGGCAACGCTTCTTGTATTAATTATCAGGTCAAGGCATTTACTGAATAATTCCTGTAAAGAGATTTGGTGAGCACATTACCTTGTGTCTTTTGATCCCAGTTAAACTCTCCATCCTACAGAAGAAAAATAATTACATATTAACAGGGCTTCTGATATTTCGCGCGGTCGCGGAGCCGCGAAATTCACGTAAATCCGCGAAATCTCGCGAAATTCCCAAAAACACGCAAAATACCGCGAAATTCGGTAGCAATCTTATCAAATACATGTCTGTACAGCAATTTTGAAACTTGTCTCAGCTACTGGGAGTATTTACTTGCCGTAAACTCGCAAATTTATGTCCAAACTTCCTCACGGATGAAACAACGTTCCGAAAGTACCAGGCGTAGATTTTGTTGCGAAAAACTAGGCACTAGCCATGATGTTAAAGGCTTTGCTATTGGTTCATTTCCGGAGCGTATTGTTGTTGAAAGAGCAAATGATGACCTCTGTTAGAAAAACAGTAAAAACGCCGGTATGATCAACGCAAAACCGATCAATTTCAAGCGAAATTTGCCCTGAAAATAACCACAAAATCCGCCGTTTTTTACCGATTACTTTCCGGCTAAGTTTGCCCCGAAAATTTCCGCGAAATTCCCTCGAAATCGGCTGTTTTTGCCGCGATTTCGTTCCTAAAAATCACGCAAAATTTGACTAGTCGGTTTGTGTATAGTATGGCAAATTATGCATGTCTGCATAATTCTTCATATCATACTGAGCCTCATCCAATAACTGCTAATGACAATTTTAATGCCAAATTATTGGTACCCATTGTAGAGGCCCTGCCAGGGTAAATTCCGACAAGCGACATGGCCCAAAAAGTAGCGACAGCGCGTAAAATAAATTCGCGACAAGAGAAAACCTCCCACAGGCTCCAGAGGAGATTTGTTGGTCGTTAGAACATCAAAACCAGTCGAAAACCTCTGAAAAAATGGGTCACTTTTTTCGTTAAACACATTCTATATACCGCAAACCAAGAGACTGAGGGCTCGCAAGATCAGCTTACAGTATTAGCGAGGATATGGCTTGCGGTTATTGATTTTCAAATCAAGAAGCAAAGAAATCAGGAAGAAATCGTTTACAATAGATTCATAAAGATCCCACTGGGCTAATTAATCGCGCTAAGCGACAGGTATAGAAATTTTTCAAGGTGAGACTTTGAATAAGTAACTCATTTATTGCGACAGTGACGGCAAAGACGACGATAACATAAGCGACAAGCATATATAAACACCGACACGACACGTTTTAAAATTCAGACGGGCGACATGGGACCCAACCCATGTCAAAACTACTTAAGGAGCAGGGGGCGCGGTTTGGGAGGAAGCGAGAAAAATATTTTTATTTTTATTTTTCTCGCCCCCTGCTGCTAGAGCTATAATCCCCGACGCCTGCCCCCTCGGTACATTTGAAAATCAAGATGGTAAGGCGGCTGGTAAGACGCGCTATATCACAGGCGTCGCAAGCTCGGACGTGACTCTTGCTTGCGAGCGGTGTTGTGTTACATACGGTTGTATGGGATGTAAACGGCTTTTCTTAAAAGAGAAACAAATGTTATGTTTTTAAATAAAATCGACTTACCTTATTGCCTTGTTGTATTCTATGTTGTTTGCCCGCGTCTCAGGCCGTTTTGAAGCGTTTTCGGCAAGTTAGCGCTATTTTGGTGTTCCACTGCTAAGACAAAGACAAGCGGTCGGAGACGCGGGCAAACAACAAAGAATACAACAAGGCAATAAGACTAGACTCCTTTCCTTGTTACCTTCTTCTCGGAATCTGTGGAAGAATTTCTTTGACATTCCGGGTTATTTGCAGACGCCTGTTCGTTCGCGTAGGTGGAATTGACCATGGCCACCAAAGCCACGCTCAAATTCACTCGGAGAAGATACATCACACAAAAACCCGAACAGGACAAAGCTGCTAGGACGTATCGAGCGGGTATATAGCATCT